CACCAGCCCCTCGTGGACGTCGCAGAGGAGCGGGCTCCTGGGGGGCCCGGACGGGGGCTGCCGGCCAGCGCGCGTCAGGGGTGCGGACGTGCGTCTGGGAGTCACCCCAGCTGCCGTCTGGGGGTGGGTAGCCTTTGTTCTGCAGCCGCGCTGGCCGGCAGGCCCCGAGCACCCCGGGGTGGGGGTGGGCGTGGGGGCGGGGGCCCCTGCAGCTCCGGGCCTGGCGGCTGGCCGGCGGGCGGCTGCTCTGTTCCCCCCCCTTCCCTGATCTTCTTGTCACCCTGGGTTTTTTTTTGCTCTCTCAGCCCCAGGGCTTGTGTTGTCTTCCCCTCCCGCTTCCGGGCAGTGGAGGCCTCTTGCCTTTTCCTCCAGCTTCCTCCCGCCCTCTCTACGTCCCAGGCGCCTGCACACACCCCAGAGCTGGCGCGTGTGCAGGGCAGGTGTCAACACCGCGGGCCCACCCTGCCCTCTGCCCCCTCTCCCTGTCCCCTCCGCCCTCTCGCCTCCGGGTGGGGTCGCCGGCATCCAGGCCGCTGTCCGCTGCCCCCAGCCCCTCTGAGGCTCAGGAGAAGGTTCCAGTGTAGCCCTGGTCATTCCCAGATGGCCCTTTACCCAGCCAGGCCCTCGGGAGCAGAGAGCTGGACGGGGCACTGCCCTTTTCCGCCCGGCTCTCCAGGCCGCGGGGCTGGGGAGCAGCTCTCCCCCTGGGCACACGAGCCTTCACCCCAGATACTGTGGGAGGCATGGGCAGGACCCCCTGGCTTCCCCAGGGCACCTCCATTCGAGACGTGGCCTGAGGGGACAGTGGGTTCTGAGAGGGCAGGGCCCCCCCAGCCTGCACATCTGTGCTGATGGTGCTGGGGGGCCCCGAGCTGGCTGCCCGGACGGTCCTGGACCCTGGGACCCGCTCGTCTCACGGACGAGGGTTCCCTGGAGGGGCCCGTGGACCCTCGTGACGGTGTGGCCATGCCAGGGCCCAGCCAGAGGTTCTGGGTCCTCTCGCTGGGTGGTTTACTCTGTAGATCTTGGTGGAGAACCTGAGGTTCTGGGTGCCGTGCCCCAGAGGCTCCCGCTTCCCAGCACGGCCTGGACGGGGCTGTGGTGTGGGACGTGGGTGTCCTTTCCCTGGAGTCGCTGAAAGCCAGGAATCTGATGACTACCCCTATACGTGTACACAGACACACACAGGAACACACATGAGCGCACACATACGTGTACACACATGAGCACACACGTGCGTGAGCATGAGTGCGGACGTGTGCGTGCACACAAGGGTGTGCAAGGAGTACACGCGTGTGCATATACACAGGAGCACACGTATACATACACACAAGCACACACATACGTGAACACATGTGCCCACACAGGCACACATATGTGTACACATATGCACAAGCACACGCATATGTGTACATACGAGACAAACACACATGTGCACCTGGCTTATGCACACACCGTGATTCCCAGAGCAGAGTGCTGGTCCAGGCAGCCTTTCTGGGTGGTTCCAGCGGGCAGCCAGGATGTGCTGTGAGTCCCAGGGATGCAGAAAGCAGACGCGGGGGAGGGAGTGGGAACTGGGCCCCGTTTCTCCAGTTCGCATCTGGTCAGCCGGGGCTCAGGGCAGGAAGGCAGGGGCCCAAGACAGTGGGGCTCACAGGGTGGGTCTGGCTGATGGCCGCACCCCCACCCCTTGACTCAGCCCCAGGTGAGTCCTGTCAGATCTGCCGTTTCTCTACCACCAAGTACCTCCCTCCCTCCAGGCCAGGCAGGTGGGAAGGGCCAGTAGGCTTGGGGGCACAGAGGGGCTACCCTGGGAGGTCCAATTCCAGATATTATGGAAACCCACAGTGGCACTCATTTCACATGCTAGCAAGATGATGCTCAAAATCCTTCAAGCTTCAACAGTAGGTGAACCAAGAAATCCCAGATGTACAAACTGGATTTAGAAAAGGCAGAGGAACCAGAGATCAAATTGCCAGCATCCGCTGGATCATAGAGAAAACAAGAGAATTCCAGAAAAACATCTACTTCTACTTTATGGACTACGCTAAAGCCTTTGACTGTGTGGATCACAACAAACTGGAAAATTCATAAAGAGATGGGAATACCAGACCACCTGACCCGCCTCCTGAGAAATCTGTATGCAGGTCAGGAAGCAGCAGTTAGAACTGGACATGGAACAACAGACTGGTTCTAAATAGAAAAAGGAGTATGTCAAGACTATGTTGTCACCCTGCTGATGTAACTTATATGCAGAGTATATCATGAGAAACTCTGGGCTGGATAAAGCACAAGCTGGAATCAAGACTATCGGGAAAAATATCAATAACCTCAGAGATGTAGATGACACCACCTCTGGCAGAAAGTGAAGAGGAACTAGAGAGCCTCTTTCTGAAGGTGAAAGAGGAGAGTGAAAAAGCTGGTTTAAAACTCATCATTCAAAAAACTAAGATCATGGCATCTGGTCCCATCACTTCATGGCAAATAGATGAGGAACAAAATGAAAACGGTGACAGACTTTTGTTTTCTTGGGTTCCAAAATCACTGCAGATGGTGACCTCAGCCATGAAACTAAAAGTACCTTGCTCCTTGGAAGAAAAGCTGTGACCAACCTAGACAGCATATTAAAAAGCAGAGACGTTACTTTGCCAACAAAGGTCCATATAGTCCAAGCTATGGTTTTTCCAGTAGTCATGTATGGATATGAGAGTTGGACCCTAAAGACAGCTGAGCATTGAAAAATTGATGCTTTCAAATTGTGGTGCTGGAGAAGACTCTTGAGAGTCCCTTGGACCGCAAGAAGATCAAACCAGGCTTGCCTGGTGCTTCAGTGATGAAGAATCTGCGTGCCAGTGCTGGAGACGCGGGTTCAGTCCCTGATCCGGGAAGATCGCTCATGCCTCGAAGCACCTAAGGCCTTGCACCCCAAGTGTGGAGTGTGTGCTCTGGAGCCCCGGAGCCAGAACTGCTGAGCTCACAGGCTGCGGCTCCTGAAGCCCGTGCTCGGCAGCAAGAAGCCACCGCCGTGAGGTCAGACAGTCAAACAGTCCTAAAGGAAGTCAACCCTGACTGTTCATTGGAGGGACTGATGCTGCTGCTGAAGCTCCCAGTACTTTGGCCACCTGATGGGAAGAGCCAACTCATTGAAAAAGACCCTGATGCTGGGAGGGATTGGGGGCAGGGGGAGAAGGGGACGACAGGATGAGATGGCGGGATGGCATCACTGACTCGATAGACATGAGTTTGAGTAAACTCCGGGAGATGGTGATGGACAGGGAGGCCTGGCGTGCCGCGGTCCATGGGGTCGTAGAGAGTTGGACACGACTGAGCGACTGAACAATGACGAGAGTGCCAGGAGGCCTGCGCTGGCGTGGGAAGGTGGGTGACGACACCCACAGACATTTGCCCCTGTCCTCACTGGGGGCAGGGGTCTTGCTGCTGGTGCAGTGAATGGAGGCCAGAAGTGCCGCTTGACACCCAGTGCGGCACAGAGTGGCCCCCCCGGCACCCAGCAGAGAACCCTGCAGCCCCAGATGTCTGGTGCCAAGGCCGGGACCTGCCCCATCCGTCACGTCCTCCCGAGTGACCGACGGCCAGTGCTCCGGTTCTGCACCCAAGGGCAGGGCTGTCTCTGCTCACCTGCAGGCTGGGGAGCCAGTGGTGGAAAGGGCAGGGCGTGTCCTCTTCTCTGGACATGGACCCAGGGCTCCGGCCACCTGGCACCGCCCTCGGGCCACAGTGGGGCTGGCCAGCACAGGCTGAGCATAGGCCATGGGCACAGCCACCCCGACCCCAGACTGCCTCATTGCCGGTCAGGGAGCAGGCAGAGGGCCTCAGCCCGGAAGCTGATGAAAAAGCAGTTTTGTTGCCTTTGGAATCATCCTCTGTGTCAGTTTCCTGGGCATCTGTAATAAAACACCACAGACCATGTGGCTTAAACAAGAGAGGTTGATTTCTGCCAGTTCTGGAGGCAGGACGTCTGAGATGAAGGTGTCAGGAGGGCTGGTTTCTCCCGGGACCTCTCCTTGGCTCAGAGACGCCCGTCTTCTCCCTGTGTCTTTCCGGCCGGGTACGTCCGTGTCCTGATCTCCTCCTCGTCTTCTTGAGAGATCAGTTTATAACTCGGTGTTCATTGTAGGTATATAGGACAGTGGTTGGGTATATGTGTTGTAAAACGATTGCTGGCCGTCACTCAGCATCCATCACCACAGCTGGTTATACAGTTTTTTATGCTAAGAACTCTTAAGATCTATTCTTTCAGCAGTTTTCACTTATACAGTATGGCACTGACTGTGGCAACCCACTCCAGAGGGAGAATTCCATGGACAGGAGCCTGGTGGGCTACAGCCCCTGGGGTTGCAAAGAGTCGGCCACAACTGAGCGGCTAACACACAGTCACGTGCTGTTCCATACATCCCCCGGACTTGCTTGTCTTGTTCCTGGAAATTTATGCCTTTTGATCACCTGATCTCTTCTTAGAAGGGTGTATCAGCTGTTTAGGACCAGGACCCAGCCCACTGGCCTCGTGTTAACTTGATTACGTCTCTGAACACCCTTATCTCCGAGGACAGTCTCATTCTGGGGCGCCGGGGACACACCCCCGCCATGACACCGTCACACCCTGCGCTGCGGTGTGGTCTTGCAGCCTCCAGGACCTTCCCCACCCCCCACCCCCGCCGGCATCCAGGGGCCTGCCAGCTCTGTGTTCCAGGGAAAGACCGCAGAGTGGGGAGGAGGGGGTCCTTGCTATAGCCCACAGGTGTGTGGGTCCCAGCGTCTAGAAAGCAGGCTCAGAAGAGCAGGTTTAAGGGACAAAGGCCCTGGACCCAGGAAACGGGGTTTCCCTGGGGCAGGTGGCGTCAGCGCCAGCCTCGCCCCTGTGACTGGGAAGGGGGCGGGGCCGCACAGCCCTGGCTGGTCCAAAGGTCCGGTGGCAACAGCGCTGAGGCTGCCGGGCAGGTGCCAGGCAGGGGTGGGGGGTAGCAGAGAAGCCACAGTGGCCGTGCGCTGGGCCCGACACCCGCCCCCCATCCAGGCTCAATTCCTCTGGGACGGCCGCTCCTCGGTCACGGGCTCAAGGTGTGAAGAAGCTTTGCCCACCGCCCTGCCCAGCTCCCCACTGCGCAATCTCTGGTGTCAAGGCCAAGGGTGGCCTCCCGGCTTTGCTGGATGACTGGCCAGACGTGGTGGGGACCAGAAGCTGGGCGCTGACCTGCCGGGGCACCCCCAGGCCTCCCGAGTGTCACCCCACCCAGAACCTTCTCGGCAAGCTGGTCGTCACGGTCACGAGTCGGCTTCCTCCATCTCGAGGACTCTTCCCGCCCCGCCGCCCCCCCCCCGGACTGACGTTTGTCCTTCTGTCCTGCAGAGCGAGCTGGACTTGGAAAAGGGCTCAGAGATGAGAAAGTGGGTCCTGTCTGGCATCCTGGCTAGTGAGGAGACTTACCTGAGCCACCTAGAGGCGCTGCTGCTGGTGAGGGGCATGGGGGGCCGGGAGGGCGGGGGGGCCTGGGCAGCCCTGCCGTGGGGGCCGGGGAGCAGCCCCCGCCTCACCCGCAGGAGGGCGGGACACGGCCTGGCCGCGGAGGTCGGCCCTCCCCGGGGGGCGGTGGGCGCACTCGTGAGACGCGGTGCCAAGCTGAGCCGGCTTCACGTTTTTGTGGCTCCTGAAATTTAAAAACAGAAGCGTGTGTGCGTTCACGTGACCGCCGCTCGCCTGGCACATGGCGAGCCCTGGCCCTTGACACCTCCGCGCCCTCTTCCAGCCCATGAAGCCTTTGAAGGCGGCCGCCACCACCTCCCAGCCGGTGCTGACGAGCCAGCAGATCGAGACCATCTTCTTCAAGGTGCCTGAGCTCTACGAGATCCACAGGGACTTCTACGACGGGCTCCTGCCCCGCGTGCAGCAGTGGGGCCATCAGCAGCGCGTGGGCGACCTCTTCCAGAAGCTGGTGAGGGGCGCGGGGGCCTCGTGGGCGTGACGGGGTGGCCGCTCCCTGAGCCTGACGCCCACCCCCTGCCAGGGAGTCGGTGCAGAGGGGGAGTCCAGGCGCTTCTTGCCGCCCCAGACGCCCAGGGCGGGCCACGGGGAGGGGGCTCTGTGCAGCACCCGTGCTGGACCCCCACGCGAGGACGCCAAGCCAGGCTTTCTCCCCACGGCCCAGCCCCGCGGACATCGCTGGTGCTTTCCGGCTCCGCCTGAGCTCTGCTCAGGGTTCCCAGGTTCCAGACGGGGCCCTCTTTGGACCACAAAGAAGCTGCTGCCCGGGCAGCAGGACTGAGGTTCCAGGCGCGGGGACCGGGGCAGGGGAGCCGGGAGCGGCCCCTGCAGGTGGAAACAGAGGGGCTCGTCCTACTTGGTTCCCTGTTTGCAGTCCTCTTGAGTTAAAGGCTCTTGGAGTAGTCACGGATTTCTTAAAGAACGAGAGAAAGGGCGTTTGGGGAGGGAAGGTTGGTCATGGGAAAGGAGCCCTCGGGTCCTTGGGGGGGGGTCCCTAACCGGGGACGTGGTGAGGACAGACCTCCCGTGTGGCCCCCGCTCCCGTGGCAGCCGTTTTAGGACCTGGAGCCAAATTGATCGCTAGCAACGGGGATCGTGGTGCCCTGGAGACCCGGCGCATACCGTGGCCGGGGGTGGAGGAGGCAGGAGGGCTGGTTTGTGTGTGGCCGGCCCAGCAGAGAGGCGGCCTCCCAGCGCTCCGAATCCTCGCCCTGGGACTCCTCGAAGGCAGGTGCCGGGCTGGCCCGTGTGAGCGGGGCTCCCCCTCCGGGACCTGAAATCCAGCTCCCGGGTCGCCCCGGCCCCGTGTGCGTGCTCCTTCCCTGCGAGGGAACCCGGCCCTCTGGGCCGGGGCAGCCAAGGCTACCAGGGCCCCTCTAAGTGGCCGGAGCGCACGGACACTGAGCCCCAGCCCCCAGCCCCCCCGGGCCTCCCGGACGTCCAGCTGGCTGGCCTTGGCTCATGCTGGACCCTGGCGTTCCGCTCGGGCGTGGCTTTCCTCTGGGCCATTCCCTCCGTCCACTGCCCCAGGCTGCAGGAAGGGGAGGAACGTCTCTGGTTCAGATTCTCCCACCGGGGACCCCTTTCCCGGAGCCAGAGAGCCAGGAGACCGGTACTCCCCATCCTCAAAGCCCCCATCTTTGAAGACCCGTGTTGTGGGCAGCAACCATGCTCTTTCCTAAATAACACTCAAGTCACCCAGAAACTTAAAAAAAACATTTAGTAGTCTGACAGACGCCTCAATTTGCAGCATTTGCTCTGGTCTCCCTGGCGACTTGGAGCTGCCTCCGTGTGTGAGACGCTACATGGGGGAGGCGCCGCCCCACGGGAAGAGGAGCCGCCCTGGGAGGTGGTTGCTGGGGAGCTCCGTGCCGCGTGTTCACCTGTGTGCCCCTGGGGCCGGGCGCTGGGCACCCCCACGGACAGGTGGACGGGTCCCTGTCCCCACCCTTTCAGATTAGCACAGTGGGGTCGGGCTGCCCAGCTGGGAGAGTCTCGGGATGCCCCCAGGAGCCCGCGATGGCCCAACCTTGGTACCATCGCTTCCCAGGAACTCACAAGCCACACCTCGTCGCTGGGAAGCCCCTCCTGCGGCTGCCTTGACTCCCTTCCTGTGGGTTAATCACTACCCAACCGGGGCTTTGTTTCTGGCAGAATTTTTATTAGCTCAGTTGTTTTGGTTACTAATCATTTCAGACTTCCTGAATTGTTCCAAGAATCGCACAAAGAAGTCTGTGTGCTGGCTGCACCACTTGTAACATTTTGCTTTATCTTTTTCTTTGCTTCTCTCCTTTGTACACACACACACATGCACACACGATAGTTAGAGAGTAAAGTGCTGATCCTGCCCCTTATCTCTAAGTGCATCATCATGTACTTGCTAAGGACATGCTCCTCCACAGCCCACAGGACAGCCCTCCATCGGAGACTGTTCATGTTCATGTGATACTGCTAAGAGATCCTTCTACGGATATCTTCCAGGTTCGGTGTCCTGTTCTTTGTAGCCGTTTTCCTTCTGAGTCAGGATGTGGTCCAGGTGACGAGATGCACGTGGTCATCGGCCTCTAGTTTCTTAGCGTCTGTGCCGCTTCCATGACCTGTGCCGGTCTTCCGCAAACTTGACATTTTTTTCAAGGGTACAGGTCGGTTTGGGTCAGACGTTTTTTTCAGGAAGAGATTCAGGTTCTGTGTTTAACCACTGCACTGATGCTGTGTCCTGTCAGTGCCTCACATGGTGAGGTCGGGGGCACCTGGTCTCCACCTGTCCTGTTATCCGTGCAGCTCGGGTTCTGATTGGTGCACCTGATCTCCTTCTGTCCCATTACCCATGCAGCTCGGGTTCTGATTGGTGCACCTGATCTCCTCTGTCCTGTTATCCGTGCAGCTCGGGTTCTGATTGGTGCACCTGGTCTCCATCTGTCCCGTCATCCCTGCAGCTCGGGTTCTGATTGGTGCACCTGTTCTCCATCTGTCCCGTCATCCATGCAGCTTGGATTCTGGTTGGTGCATCTGATCTCCATCTGTCCCGTCATCCCTGCAGCTCGGGTTCTGATTGGTGCCCCTGGTCTCCATCTGTCCCGTCATCCATTCAGCTTGGATTCTGATTGGTGCACCTGATCTCCGTCTGTCCTGTTACCCATGCAGCTCAGATTCTGATTTGTGCGGGAGTTGCTGAAACCTCTCCAAAGCCACGTGGGAGATGTGAGCTCCTGGAAGAGGGGGCAGGAGAAGTAACAACGGAGGGTTCTGTGTCAGTGTATTTAGGCTGCTGCAGCCCAGGCGGCTCAAGCAACAGAGGTCTACGTCCTCCCGTTTCTGGAGGCGGGACGTCTGAGACCCCGGCGCTGGCGGGGCTGGTTTCTCCCCAGGCCTCTCCCCTCGTTGTGTCGACGCTGTCCTTTCCCCGTGTCCCCACGCGGTTGTCCCGCTGTTTCTGTGTCCTAATCTTTTCTTCGTATAAGGACCCTTCTCAGATTGGATCAGGCCCATTTGAACAGCCTCATTTTTTAAAAAAATAGATTTTTTTTGATGTGGACCATTCTTATATTCTTTATTGAATTTGTTACACTGTTGCTTTTGTTTTATGTTTTGACCTTTTTGGCCTGGAGGCAGGTAGGATCTTGGCTCTTGGACCAGAGGTTGAACCCCGCACTGGAAGGTGGAGTTTAACGCTGGACCAGCCGGGAAGTCCCGTAACGGCGTTGTTTTCTCCCCATCATCCCTTTAGGCCCGTCTCCAGCTACAGTCACATTCTCAGTGCTTGGGGTCAGGGCTTGGACTTACAGATTCCAAGGGGACACACCTCAGTAGTAACGTCCCCTTGGGACTAGGCTGAGCCATCACCTCTTCAGAGGCCACCCCAGCCACAGTATCCACGGTAGCCCCGCCGTCCTCCCCTGCTCTGCGTTCAGCCATCGGTCATGTTACGCCTTTCTTACTTATCGTGTGCTCCTGCTAGCCGGCTACACGCACTGTGTCTGAATGATTGGTGGGGGCAATGCCTAAAGCCGGGCCTTTGTTTGGGTGGGAGACCCTCAGTGAGCAGGGTGGGGGAGAGAAAGGGCTCGGGGTCCCACTGTGTGACAGGGGACCCGGGGTCTTGGACGCAGCAAGTTGTCCGGGTGAACACTGGCCGGGGCCGGGCGGGGCCTGCTCCAGCTGCTGTTTTTCCTCATGCACCCCCATACCCTCAGTGCAGCCCCCACAGGGAGCGGGGCCAGAAGACCAGACAATGCCGAGGGCATCTGGGCTTGCCATCCAAGGAAATGTAAAATTCAATATAAATGCAAATACACATAGAAATAGAATTTGGGTTCAACGCAGAACGAACGCCAGGATCAGCAGAAGTCTTGGGCCTGCGGCTCCCGGCGGGCTGCAGTGGAGGCCTGGCCAGCCGGTCACAGGGTCTGCCCTCACCTGCCCGGGCTGGGGTTTCCCTGCTGCCTCTGGAGGCGACCCGGGCCCTGGTGACGGTGGTGGCCGCAGACAAACCTCGGAAGCCTTGACTCAACTGAGTGTCGGGGCAGGAGGCTAAGCCAAGAGACCTTCTGTTATTGCCTTTGGCTGGGAAGAGGAGAAACGCTGCTGGCTTTGCTGCTGGCAGCGGAGGTCTCCCGCCTGCCAGGCATGCCGGGTGACACCGGAGCCCCATCACCGGGTCTGGACGGGGCTCATGTCTGGGCAGTGGGAGCCCGTCTTCTCCGTGGGCAGCTGAACTGCGCATTTCTCACGTGTCTGAAGAGGTCGTAGAGGAGCAGACCTGTGCAGCCCCTCCTTGCTGGTTTGATTTCCTTGCAGTCCAAGGGGCTCTCAAGGGTCTTCTCCAGCACCACCATTCAAAAGCATCAGTTCTTCAGGGCTCAGCCTTCTTTATGGTCCAAGGAGATCAAACCAGCAGTTTATCAAATCATAAACAAAATTAACCCTGAATATTCATCGGAAGGACTGACTGATGCTAAAGCTCGAATACTCTAGCCACCTGATTAGAAAAGCCGACTCAATGGGAAATACACTGATGCTGGGAAAGATTGAAGGCGGGAGGAGAAGGGGATGACAGAGGATGAGATGGTCGGATAGCATCGCCGACTCAATGGACATGAGTTTGAGCAGACTTCAGGAGATGGTGATGGACAGGGAGGCCTGGCGTGCTGCCGTCCGTGGGGTCGCAGAGTCGGACACGACTGAGCGACTGGACTGCAGCAGCAACAGGGCAGCCTCTCGGGCCAGGGGTGGGTCCCGCCGAGGTGTCACAGCTGAGACGAGAAGTGGCCGCCCCCTCCCCCCTGCCAGAGACGCTCATGCGTGTTCACTGACGTCCTGGAACTCGAGCCGTTGCTGATGGCCCCGTTTAAACGAGCAGGGTTGGGGGAGGAGGATGCTGGGACGAGAGCCCCTACCTGCCTGGGACTGTGAGTCACCTCCCCACATGTCGTGTTGGAAGCAGAAGCACGCTCAGCGTGTGGGCAAGAGAAGCAGGTGGGCGGCAGGGAGCGCGCGGGGAGCCGAGGTTCCTGCAGCCCCGCGCCGGCCGCTGCACCTGGGCTCAGGGGAGCCTGGCACGGGGGCCAGAGACCGCATGGCCCGCTCCTGCTTGTCACCTGTCCCACTCTCTCCCTCCCTCCCTGCAGGCCAGCCAGCTGGGTGTGTACCGGGCCTTTGTGGACAACTATGAAGTTGCCATGGAAACAGCCGAGAAGTGCTGTCAGGCCAACGCTCAGTTTGCAGAAATCTCTGAGGTACGCGTGATGCTGCAGAGAGGTGTGCCCCTCCACCTCCCTGGGTGGGGCTGGAGGGGGGCACCGTGGGCGATCGTGGGCACACCGTGACCCCAGAGAACATGCGCTGCACACCAAGGGCTGGTCGTGAACCTCAGCTGTGTTTCTAGATGCCCGCAGGTGGGCTCCGTCAGCCTCAGGTGGGGTGGGGGGCGGGGGGCGCTGTCCTGAGCAGCCTCGGGAGCTCCCTGCCCACCCAGCCGCCAGGGCCCAGTTCGGGGTTCCGTCTGTGCCCCCCAGGACGGACACTGTCTTGTGCTGTCTGTGAGGCCCCCAGGAACAGAGGGGTCTCGACACCCGAGCCTGAGGCTGACATTGCACCTTGAGGGTGGAGAACAGGTGGGGGGCATGTGCTCCGCTCCTCTGGGGCTTACCACCAGCGTGGGGTGGGCTGCCCACCCACAACGGGGGGAGCTGCAGGCTGCCAGCCGCACCAGCCCGGCAGCTCGGAAACCTCGAGCCCTGGAGTCTCAGTACGAGGAGGGGCCTTAAAGAGCCCCCGGAGGCAGGAGACGGGCCACCAGGGGGTGCTGGGTCCTCCCCGCCCTGCCCACCCTGCAGTTCCTGCAGTGGGGGGGACGCCTTCCTCTTCCCGGGGCCCATCTTCCCCAGACCCCTGACCTGCCTGCCCTGCCAAGCAAGGATTCTGCGTGGGAAGACCTCTGAGTGAGAACTCAGCTGCTGCCTTTTTTCCTTAAACTTCTTACTTTTTGCCTTCTTGTGGGATCTTAGTTCCCCGACCAGGGATCGAACCCATGTCCCCTGCATTGGAAGCACAGGGTCTTAACCAGTGGACCCCCGAGGAAGCCCCAAGAACTCAGCTTTAGGGAGAGAAATGGAAACCAGAAACAGGGCAGGGCTCTCTGGCTGGAGACTGATCCTATGTGCCGACAGCCACACCTGGGCTTCGCCGCGGAGCATTCATGCTGTTTCATGGCCTATCGGGGAGGTGGGCCCTGCGGGTCCCGGCGCTGATGTCCCCCAGGGTGCTAACACGTACCACCCCGACCCCCAGAGCCCGTGGGTGCCGCACGCACCCAGGGCCTCAGGCTGGCTCCACACTGCCCTCCACAGCTGCCCCGGTTGGCCTGGAGCATTGGATCTGTTCCTCTCATTCGCCCATGAAACTAGCAGCCCTCACGCCCCCAACAGCTGGGGTACGGGCACTGAGTCCCCAGGCGACCTTGACAAATGAAGAGTCGTGACCTTTTTAAGGTCAGGCTGCACTTAAACGGGGCTACGTTCACATCCACCCAGACAGGTTTCTACAGAAACGGGAGGAAGCGACGGTGGGACACGACCTGGGGCTCGCGGGGTCCCACCAACCATGTGCAGGAGGGGATCCGAGCCCAGACCCGGGCGCAGGAAACAGGGCAGTGCTCGGGAGCAGCCAGCGGCCAGGCTGCCGTGAAGTTTGTACCGTCAGGCGGTGTCCACTCGGGCTCTCCATCCCTGTTTCCAAAAAGACTCAGAGAGGGACTTCCCTGGTAGTCCAGTGGCTGAGACTCTGTGCAGGGTTCAGTGCAGGCTTCAATCCCTGGCCAGGGAACCAGATCCCACACGCCACAACAAAGATCCTGTTTGTCTACAACTGAGCCAAATAACAAACAACAAAAAGAACAGGCCCAGAGAAAATAGAACCACACGAAACGTGAAATGAGCCACAAGGACATGGAAGGAGCAGGCCACAGGTGTAGGGGTTTGCATTCAGGGGTGGGGGTCAGAGCTCGGCTCTGGGGACGGGAGGTCCACCTCCAAGGACACGGAGCGGTGATCCTTCATCTCTCCCAGGACTGGCCTGATCCTGAGAGAGGATCAAATCCGTGTTTGGCATCATCCGGTCAGACCGGAGTTACCCGTGCTGGGTTCCATGAGCCCGGGCTCCCCGGATAATAAACAGGTGACAAGAAGAATAAAAGTGAAAATGTTAGTCACTCAGTCTTGTCCGACTCTTTGTGACACCCATGGATTATAGTCCGCCAGGCTCCTCTGTCCCTGAAATTCCCCAGGCGAGTAGCCATTCCCTTCTCCAGGGGGATCTTCCCGACCGAGGGATGAAACCCAGGTCTCCTGCATTGCAGGCAGACTCTTTATCGTCTGCGCCACCAGGGAAGCCCCTGATAAATAGGTAACGGGAATCTAGTGAAAAGGGCTTCTGGAGTCTGTAGTCGGCTTGGGAGCTGCGGGGTTAAACCAGACTTGTAAGTTTCCTTAAGGCAGTTCCCCCCCCACCGAGCCCCCAGATGATGAAGGGGCCCACGTGCATCGTGCCTTCCGGGGGTGCCAAGCGTGGGCTGCCGCCCCGGCTCATCGGAGCAGCACCTGATTTTTGCAGATTTGAGCTCACGCGCGCTCCCCACTCCCCCTCCCCTGCCCTCTGGGAGCTGCTGAGGCAGGCGGGTGGAGGAGCCCCTGAGGAGAGCCAAAGCCCGGGGGGGCGGTGGGCACCAGGCTGTGTCGGGCGCCTGGCCCCGGAGGGTTCCTGGCCTGAGAGGTGAGGGACGCGTCTCCAGGCCGCTGCTCGTCCCTCTGCTGGGTTTTCTTTTGCTCCCCGTCCTCGCGCTGGGATTAACCACAGCGTCTTCCCAGGGACTATTTCAGGCACACAGGGCCCTTTCATTCCGTTTCTCTTGGTACCTCGGGCTGAATCCGCAGCTCCTGTGATGCGGTTATGTTGAAAAATGACCCACCCACTGAAAAAGCTCTGCCTGCTTCCCAGGCAAGGCCGTTTGCAAAGTCGGGAGAGGGTGGGATGGAGGCAGCGTGCCTGCTGGTGGCTGCCCCGAGGCGGGGTGCTCTGAGCACCCCCCCCTCCAGCCCCTGTGTCCAAGCACGCTGTTTAACTGAGGCGAGGACGCTGGTCCACGCTCCCAGGAGGGGCGCTGCCTTGGGTCTGGGTTTGCCAGACCCTCTGCGTCGGAGGTCTCGGCCAGGGCCGATTGTGTCCCCTGGGGACACTTAGCAATGCCTGGGGACGTCCCAGCAGCAGGAGGGGCTGCTGCTGCTCCTATAGGATTGGGGCGCTGTTCAGCCTCCAGGGCGCCTCACCACGGAGACTTTCCGATGCTGAAGTCGGCCCTGCCCCTCACACTGTGCCCCAGACACACCCCTGAGGTTTGCGGAGTGAGAGGAGAGTGAGGTTGCTGCCCAAGCTTCCTGGGGGTAAGCTCGCTGCCGCCATCAAGGCCGCTCTGTTCAACCCATGTGAAAATGAGCTTTTCTCTCTGCAGAACCTGCGAGCCAGGAGCAACAAGGAGGCCAAGGACCAGACAACCAAGAACTCTCTGGAAAGTGAGTTCTCAGTGCCGGGGCCCAGCAGGGCCCCCGGGGTGGAGGTGGGGGGTGGCCGCGGCGAGGGGACAGGGTGCCTAGCTGGGCCCCCGTCTGCTGCTGCAGACCTCCCATCGCGAGGGGGGGGAGCAGGGAGCGGGCGGGACGCCCGCCCGGCCTCTCCAGCGCCTTGCTGTCGTCCAGCGACCTTGCAGGGGGATATCGTCCCTTCTTCCAGATGATGTGACGGGTTTAGGGTGGAAGGAACTGTGTAGAAGGCAGGCCCCGAGAGGCTGGGCAGGGCTCAGAGCCGAGCGGTGAGGGCCCCGGGCCTGTGTTTGCCCTCCTCCCTCTGGGCAGGGTGGGCTCGGGAACGGGAAGGTCCTTCTCACTTCTGGCTCTCAGAAGGATGCTCACTCACAGCACAGCACCTGTGATTTGAGCTGGGGCTAGAGCTTCACCCCGCCCTGAGCCAGTCTCCCCCGTGTCTGTGAAACAGGGGTCACTGCACACCTTGCCCTGCTCATGGGGGTCATGGGCAGAGACGCCCCCAACACAGGAGAACAAGTTAAGTTCTGTGCCCACGATGGGCCGTGCCGGCCACGGAGAAGAGGGGACAGCCCTGGCCGCTGCGTCCAGGGGTCCAAAGATGCCCATAAGGCAGCTGAAGATCCTGCCTCAAAAAAGATCAGAGATCCCGCCTCAGCCAAGACCCTGCGCAGCCTGCATACATAAACACTAAAAAGCAAACAAGCTGACCCACCGGTTCAACCGGGAGCTGTGTCTCAGCATCAGGCCTGGATCCGCGTGGAGACCAGGGACTGGTCTGCCCGCAGGGACCTGCACCGGCCCATCCTCCCAGGGAGCCGGTCGGCTCCCTGACCCCCGCCTTTGAGCGCCTGCTGCCGAGGCAGCCTCGCAGGCTTGGGTCCGGGATGAGCCCCGGACCCGGCGCTGACATCACGGACCGAAAGCCCACAGCCACGGCCCCAGCCTTCCAAGGCGCCTGGCTCCCCCCGGGCCCGAGCAGAGGGGAGGTGTGGGGTGCCTCCTGCACCCTCGCAGCGAGGGCAGGCAGGCGGCCTCCTCCCCGGGCGGCCTCTCAGCCCCTGCCTGTCTCCCCGCAGCCCTGCTCTACAAGCCCGTGGACCGGGTCACCCGGAGCACGCTAGTCCTGCACGTGAGTCCCTGGGGCCCGGGGCCTCCGCGTCCTGGGGCTCTTGGCTTCTGCTATCCTGGGGCTGACGCCGCGGTCTGTCAGCTCTGCCCACCTGCCCCCCTTTCTGCCCCGCGCCTGTGCTGAGCATGCAGAAGTGAGGCAGCTCTCCTTTCCCGGGCTCCCAGGGTGGGAGGTGGTCCGGGGCTCCTGGTGCCTCATCAGAGCGGGCACAGGTGGGGAGGGCCTCGAGGATGGAGACACGCTCCCGGGGGAGGGGGCAGGGCACGGATGCCAGGTGCCTGCCGGGACCGTGGTCGCACCACACCCTCCACCAGATGGACGGCGCGTGGAGGTCCTGCTGGCGGGGCTGCTCCTGAGGACAGTGGGGAGTCACTCACACGTTATTAAGTGGTCGTCTTCCGTGTGTGTGTGTGTGTGTGTGTGTGCGCGCACTCAGTCNAAGTGGTCGTCTTCCGTGTGTGTGTGTGTGTGTGTGTGCACGCGCACTCAGTCGTGTCCGACTCTCTGCAACCCTCTGGACCGTAGCCTGCCAGGCTCCTCTGTCCGTGGGATTCTCCAGGCAAGGATACTGGAGTGGGTTGCCCTGCCCTCCTCCAGGGGATCTCCCCGACCCAAGGATCGAACCTGCGTCTCTTAAGTCTCCTATATTGGCAGGCGGCTCTTTACTACTCATGCCGCCTGGGCAGCCGGGTTGTCTTAATACCGAGAAACGAAAACAGAGGGAGAAAGGCCCCCAGCCCTAGTGCCTGATGACCCTATCCATGGGTCTTTAGAGCAAGTCTTACACACGCATTTTTTAAAAATGTACGACCAGCTCGCAGAAGCCTATAAAGTGTGCGTTTCCTTTCCTGCTCCCTCCCCATAAGGGCCCTCCACCAGGAGGATCTTTAATGCTGACACACGTGACGTACTTGTAATCACTCGCACAGGCGGCCGGGCCTGTGGCTCCGCGCGTGGCCTTTGGCCGCTGTGCGCTGCGTCAGGGCGGTGGTGCCCGGGCAGCTCCGCCTCATTCTTCCCTGGGCTGCGTGGTTCCCCCCCAGTGCATGTTTCATAATGTCTTACGTCGCAGAGAGCATGTGGATGGAGGACGATGAGCTGAGATTTGCGGTTTGCACGTTTGCCAGGCTCTGGCGTTGGAGCCCTGGAGGCCCTTCATTTGATCCCCCGGCAGCAATGCACCCAGGCCTGGGGGGACTGGCCTGGGACCCCCACTCGGGAGTCTCCTCGACTTGTCTCATCTCCCCAGGCTCTTGTTGCCGTAGGATTTAGGAGCCAAGAGGGTTCTGTGTCTCTGGACCCGGGAGCCGTTGACTTTGAGCCGTTGAGCTCAAATGACGGGCATTCCCCAGGGAGAGGAATTCCCAGGCTCTGACCTAAGAGAGCAGGAGTCGGGAAGGTTGGGGGCTTTCTCCTGACCTCGCACAGACCAGCGCACCAGGGTGGTCTAGATGGACACGAAACACGTCCAGAGGCGGTTTCACTTGATACCGCCACACACGAGTGGGTACCACTGGCATCGAGCGGGCTGAGGCCACGGATGGTGCCAGCCTCCTGCAGGGCGTGGGGCCGCCCCCTCCCAGAGCTTCCCGGCCCTGGCTGGAGGAACCTGCCCCAGAGCCGCAACGTGGAGCCCCTCTAGGCAGCGTGCAAACGGCATTGGCTTGCGGGCTCCACTCGGGACCACCCCCAGGCACTGTGCTCCGCCATGTGGCCCCAGCAGTCAGAGGGGCGTCCCTGGGTCCGCACCCCCGAGCGCGTCTGCGGCTCTGACTCGACCCTTCCCCCGACACAGGACTTGCTGAAGCACACACCCCCCAGCCACCCTGACCACCCGCTGCTGCAGGACGCCCTCCGCATCTCGCAGAACTTCCTGTCCAGCATCAATGAGGAGATCACGCCCCGCCGGCAGTCCATGACCGTGAAGAAGGGCGAGGTGGGTGCAGCGGCCACTGCCCGGGCGGGGGACGCCGGCCCCCGCTGTGTCCCTGCAGCCCAGCCGGGCACAGCGACGCCTGGCCCTGGCAGGGTGGACCCCGGCCGGCGGGCGGGACGTCCGGGTGGGGTTGCAGGGACGTGGTGGCCTCACGGTGGGGGCTGTGTCCTGAGCCCCTGACACTTCTGCCAGATAGGGGTCCCCAGGTGGGGAGATGGACCAGAAGGCAGACGGCATTTGTCTGCCTGGAGACCGCTCCGTGCCCCTCTGACTATTCTCTTTTTTTTTTTTTTCTGCCTATTCTTTCATGATAAGACAGTTGACAGCGGGTTTAAAGACTCCCTGGGGAAGTAAGGGAGCGGGGCGTGGTGTGTTCATAGCTGAGAATGGGGTTGACGTCCTCTGGGGGTTCCCCTCTCCCTCCTCCCCCCGTACCCCCCACCGAGAGTCCCTCTTGCCCTCTGTCGTCCCTGGAGGAGAGGGTGTGTGGCACAGAGGGGCCAGGTACCACCCTGGCTGCTTCTGCCCTTCCCGGGAGGGGCCCGCCCGTGCCAGGCAACTTGCAGTGAGATGGCAGAGGTGTGCGGGTCGGGGGGCGGCATCCAGAGTGAGCACCCTTTGCCGGACATGCACCCGGGCGGGTGTAGGCAGGGACGGGGCCGTGTGGGCCGGGCAGTGAACCTGACTGCCTCCGCCACTGGGAGCCGCTTCCTCTCTTGCCCGCTCCTTCGAGTCCTGGGGGCTCGGCGGTTCCTGGTTTGACCCGCCCGGCACTCGGGGCAGCCAGCAGGTGGCTCTTGGCCCTAAGCTCCTAACCTCTGGGGGAAGTCATACCTGAGTGCCCAGCCTCCCTGGTCACCAGTTCACACGACCTCAGCAGACACGGGAGTTGCTTCCGCCAAGACGGCCTTCCCGTGGGCTCTGTCTCCCCTCCCGGGAAGCGGCTTCAGGGCGCCTCGGGTCTGTGCCGCACCTCCCGCTGCAGCGGGCATCCCCGAGGAGAGGTGCCTTCCTGCTCCTCCGATCGCTGGAAGCAGCTGCCTTTGGCCAGGTGTCGCCTGCAGTTGGCAGCCAGGCCCTTGTTGCTGTGTCTCCATCACAGGCCTCCTTCCCCGGGGACCACGGCCGGGGTCCCAGGGTGCCTGAGCGGGACGGAGTGTGGAAGGGCTGGGGCTCCACGGGGACTGGCCTTCTGCCTGCCGCCCCCTGCACCCCCACCCGCATGCGGCCCTGGTGGCCCGTGGCGTCTGCTCTTCGGGGGGAGTAGTGTGGGTGTCTCGGCCGCGAAAAGCGGGGAGGAGGGCCAGTGACCCTGAAAGGTCGTGAGTCTGCCTCACCACGGCCCTCCGTTCAGGGCTGTCTGCTGGGAGCACAGTAAGGGATGTAGGTGGCGGCTAGACCAGGACGCGGGCTTCCCTGATGCCTTGGTGGCAAAGAAATCTCCCTGCCAAGGCAGGAGATGCGGGGTCCATCCCTGGTTGGAAGGTCCTCTGGAGAAGGAAATGGCCACCCACTCCGGCATCCTTGCCTGGGAAATGCCACGGACAGAGGAGCCTGGGGGGCTACGGTCCAGGGGGTCACGAGGAGTCGGACACAGCTGAGTAACTAAACCATCACCACCAGCAGGATGAAGGCAGGTGCACCCCTGTGCCGGTCCAGGGCAGACAGGACTAATCAATCAGTGACTGATGGATCAGGGAGCCCCTCCCAGGCTGCCCCAGGCCTTGCTGGTTAAGGACGCCTGTCCTGGGTTCTGCCCACCGCACCAGCAGTGGACCCAGCTGGGACCCCGCTTCTCCTCACCGAGTGCAGTGACTCAGCGGAGCCGTCTCCTGGGCCGCAGCCCCCCCACTCCCAGGGCCAGAACGTGCCGAACGCAGCCCCTGCTGGGAGCCAAGCCGGGCCCGCCCGCTCCTCGCCTCCAGCACCTCCTCCATCCTCTCGGCCCCCACCTGGGCCGTCCGTGGTCACTCTGTCCTCCCGGCGCCCGCGTCGCACCGTGGCTTCCTCGGGTGCTGTCCTTGTCGGCTGGGGCTGGGGGCAGCCTGTAACAAAGCGCCGTCAACCAGAGGGCCTTCCGCCCCAGACGTCAGCTTCTCACTGCTCTGGAGGCTGGAAGCGGAGCTCAGGTGCAGCGCGCTCAGGGGGCCGCTGGGGGCCGCCTCCTGCTCTCGCACAGCCGACGAGGGGCCGTGTTGTCTGGGTGGCCGCTGGAGGTGGCGGCCGGCCTGGGGGAGACCCTCGGGAAAGAGGCGCTCCTCTGAGACACACGAGGTAACCCCTTTGTCTGGGGGAATGGGGGAGATGGTATCTCCCCGGCAGAGGCGTTTTGGGGATCAGTGGGGACCTAAGCACGGGGAGACTGTGGACCAGGGCCCCGGCCCCCAGAGGACTCAGCAGAGGGGCGCCGGGAGCCCACCGGGGAGGTCTTTTTGTCCCCAACTCGAAGGACACTGAGGCTGGGGGAAACCAGGCGTCCGAGCCAGCGACCCCATTGCAGAGAGAGGGGAGAAGGGGGTGCGGACTCAGGGCCGGGTGCGGCGGATGCGGCTACCCGAGGGTGAAGCCGTGTCTCTTGCAGGAGGCGCCGGCCCGCACCCTTGGCACCTTCCCTCGCAGCCCCACCGCATGCAGCAGGCCGTGGGCACGTGGGACACACGGGGCAGGGAGGACACGGGTGTGCACACGGGGGCACAACTGGAGACACATGCAGACCGGGGCCCGCCCGCTCACCAAGGGGACACGCACACACACAGGGGCGCGCCCCTACTCAGGGACACACACACAGAGACAGACAGACAGACACAGAGAGAGAGAGAGACAGACACAGACACACACGGTCCGTCGCCGCCCCCAGGGTGAATGGGGAGGGGCCTGGCTGCCAAGTCCGCCCCTCAGAGCCCCCCGCCCCTCATCTGAGCCGGCGCCCGCCAACACGGAGTGGCGGGTGCGGAGCCTGATGCTGGTGGCCCCGGAGGGTGCAGGCGGTGCCTGGGGCGGGGAGAGGGGTGCTCACGGGGTCCGTTGGGGCCGGGACCTCAGGCGATTCCTGCCTTCGGGCCCTGTGGCCGGAGCGTCCGCCTCTGAGCTGGAGCTGGGGCGCCCTCTGCTGGCGACGGCCAGTAGCTCCGCCCCTTCCGTCTCCCCGTCCCCCGCTCACGGAAGGTCCCCTGGTGCTGCCTCCTGGGCTGGAGAACCCTCTGCCGAGCCCCTGCGTTCGTCCTCGAGGACTTCAGCGTCCCGGGACCGGCCCCCCCAACCCCCTGGCACAGACCCCCTGTCTGCCTCCCGGGGGCCACGGGCAGGCAGAGGGCGGTGACCCCGCATCGTGGCCTTGGCGCATGGGCAGCCCTCCTGCCCTTGCACATACGGTGTGGTCGGCGCGGGCAGCGCCCGTGTGAACCATCTGCGCCCTGTGCCAGGGCCTGGCGGGCTGCCATGAGCCCAGCTGCGGGTGACGGTGATGTGGGCGTGGGGGGCAGGCGGCCCAGGCTGCACTCGCTTCTGGGGGGGCCCTGGCTGAGCATTGGCAGGGGGCTCAGGGAAGCACAGCCTCCCCAGGAAGTGGACCCAGGGTGCGGGTGGCAGTGGACCCCGGTGCCCGGACCCGCCGGGGGCCGCCGCGGTGAGGCGGCTCTGGGGTTCTGCGCGATGAGCGGGCCTGACACTGCACTCCCCGCCTCCCGCAGCCATTTCAGACTGGGGGCCGTTGCGCTTTCTGAGGGGCCTTCCCTGAGGCTGGGTGGGAGGGTCCCTCTCCTCCCAGGCACAGAGCCCTGAGTCCCTGCTTGCTTTCTGCACGGCCGGGGGCGGGTGGCGGAGCTCCCTGTCCGCAAAGTGGGCACAAGGACCCGCCCCCCCCGGGGTGTGCTGGGGTCGCCTCCAGTGACCAGTGGCCCGGGGCGTGCGTGGGGCAGCCTCTCTTCCTGTCCTCGGCACGGCACAGCCTTGGTCCAGCTGACAAGGCGGTGGCCGCTGGTTGTCGACTGATGACCGACCTACCGCCACACGCTCTGGACCTGTGCGAGCTGGGAAGCCCCGCCTCTGTGTTTCAGGGCAGCCCCCAGGGCGGAAGCACAGGGCTTGCTGGGCGGCTGTTGCCTCGAGTTCCCCTGCTGTTCAAGGCCTCCTCAGGGCTTGGGGCCGGCATCAGAGGTGTGAACCCCATGTGGGCTGCTGTCCTTCAGTGGGCCATGGCCTGAGACAGACTGGAATGCGGGGTCCCAGTGGGGGGACCCCTGCCCGGCCGTCTGATGCCTGCAGATCCAGGCCTGGCCCTGAGTGTGATCGCTCCCTGCTCACCAGGCGGCTGTCCGTGCTGAGAACTGGGCCCTTTTCGCCAGCGTGGTGGTGGTCCCCGCACGAGATCATCCCCTCTTCTCCTGGCCGGCCTCCCGCCCGGGTCTCTGGGGCTGTCCTGGGGAGGGAGGTGCGGGTCGCCCTTGCTCAGACGGGCTCTCCATCCCCCGGCTGCACTGTGCCCTCTGGCCTCCACGCCGGCGGCCGGGACCCTGTCCATGCACCTTCCCCCACAGGCTGTGTGCCCCGGGCACTTGGCGACTTTAGTGGACAGAGGGCGAGGGGTGTGAGGTGTTTGCAGGCGGAGGGGGCACTGGGAGGTGGAGGCGGGGGGCAGAGGCCCCAACCCCTGCCGTGACCACCCCTCTCCCGCCCTGCCCGCAGCACCGGCAGCTGCTCAAGGACAGCTTTATGGTGGAGCTGGTGGAGGGGGCCCGCAAGCTGCGGCACGTCTTCCTCTTCACCGACCTGCTGCTCTGCACGAAGCTCAAGAAACAGAGCGGGGGGTGAGTGACCGCGCGGCCCCCGGCCCAGCAGCGGGTCCGGGGCACCCGGGGCGGCTTCTGCAGAAGGAGACTGGATGTTCTTGCCAGTCAGCTTGCAGAGGTCATCCCCCTGTGGGCCAGGCCTCCCTCGTTAAGCTACAGTCTGTTTCCAACTGGACGTGGTGCCAGGCTCACGGCCAGAGGTCATCATTAGCAGATGTCCTGGGTCAGCGTTAGTGACTGGGCTGTTGACTTCTAACAGGAAAAGGGGAACCTGACAGTGACTTCGGGGGGAGCTGTCAGGTCATGACCCAGAGAGGTCTGGGGGTTCAGGGTCTGCTGCAGGTGCGGCATGCACGGTGCCTGCCCCTCCCCGGCCCTTGGCAGACATCACCAGCTGATGGCCAAGAACGTGGTGGCTTCTAAGTGGCTCTCCGCCCTGGCCTGCAGACCCCACCCAGCCCCTCAGGGATCAGACCGCCCAGGGTGCAGGGGCAGCAATGAAGGAAAAGACAAGTCACTGAACTGGGCTCTTCAGCCGTTGCCATGCTGAGTGGATTTAATCAGAAGAGAGCTTCAGTTTCCCCGTCTGTCTGTCAAGAGAGGGGGGTTACACTGGGTGGATTTGCAGCCCCTCAAACTACAGGTCTGAGGGCATCTGCCCTGACAGTCATTGGCAGCCTAAGTGGTCTCCCACATCAGGAGAGAGCGGATGAGGGCATGTCAGACCTCTGGGGCCTGCGTCCCATGTGAGCAGCGCCCCTGCACAGGGGTCACCGGGGCCGGGTTGCCAGTGTCCGCCTGTGACCTCATGCCAGCCTGTCTTGGGGACCACGGGCAGGGTTTGAAGGTCGGGTAGACGTCACGGCCGTGACCTTAGGGCTCCCAGACTGGAAGGCAGTGACTTAAGCGGAGGGAGGTGGGCAGCCTGTTGATGTGTCCCCCCCGCCCTCCCCCACCCAGCAAAACCCAGCAGTATGACTGCAAGTGGTACATCCCGCTCACGGACCTCAGCTTCCAGACGGTGGACGAGTCGGAGGCCGCGCCCAACATCCCCCTGGTGCTGGACGAGGAGCTGGATGCCATGAAGATCAAGATCTCCCAGATCAAGAGTGACATCCAGAGAGAGAAGGTGGACGGATGGTGGTGGGCGGGGGGCCAGGCTGGCTGTGCAGCTCCGGGAGCGGCAGCACCTCCCAGCGGGCAAGTTCTGCTGAGCCTCTGACCCACTGCGGGTCTCGGACCTGCTGAGCCTCTGACCCACTGCGGGTCTCGGGGACCTGCTGGGACCCCGAGAGCACTTGGGGCGCCAGGTGTCCCGTCAGACATGGAGCCGTCCAGGATTAGGTCTGGAGCAGTTGCCCCGCTGCCCCTGTTACAACTGCCCCGGTGGGGGGCGAGTCCCAGGTGGGGGACGCAGCCCCTCCGGAGGGTCTGACCTGCATCCAGCAGACCCCTGGTTGTTTCTGGAGAGGAGCAGTGTTCTGAGGGAACAGCGGGGGCGAGCCCCCAACCTGTAGGGTCTGTAGGTACTGTGTGGTGGTCAGAGACGGGGTGGATCCCCAGAAGGTTGATGACCAGGGACAGCAGATGCTGCGGTGGGTGCAGCGGGGCAAGCGTCCTTCACGGCCCGCCCATGCCCTCCCTGCTGCACCCACCCCCCCAGGGGATGGGGGAGCCCCGGACCGGTGTGAACTTCTGGGTTGTCTGTCTGGCCGGGGCAGAGTGTCCCAAGGGCTGTCGAGCCCTGTCCACTGCTGGACTTGTCCAGGCCGTGCCCCTGGGACAGAGGCTTCAGGAGGGCGACAGACGGCAGGGAGAAGGGAAGGTTCTCCCTGCCAGGTCCTGGGGGCGCGTCTCACCCAGCACAGGCCCCTCGCTCCCAGGGGACGGGACACTGAAATGTGCAGGGCAGGGGCCCTCCGGGTCACCACAGGCCCCTGGATGTTGCCCTAAGTTTGGAGAAACTGAAAGAAGGGAGGTCCGTGAGGGGAAGGACTTACTCCCTCAAGGAGGGGGGACTGAGCACTTCTGGCAGCCCGCGCCCGGCCGGGACGGTATGGCCCAGGCCCTGTCCACGGGCTTCTGTCCTCTGCGGACTAAGGGTCCGGCCCGGGGCAGGCTGAGCAGGAGCGGGCAGCACTGGGTTGGGGCTGGACCCCTGACTGCATCCTCTCCCCGCAGAGAGCGAACAAGGGCAGCAAGGCCATCGAGAGGCTGAAGAAGAAGCTCTCAGAGCAGGAGTCGCTGCTGCTCCTCATGTCCCCGAATATGGCTTTCCGCGTGCACAGCCGCCACGGGAAGGTGCGTGACCACCGGCCACGCCACGCAGGCCACGGCCCCGTCCGCTGGCCACACTGCAGGTCACGCCCCTCACAGGCCGCGCCCCCATCCGCAGGCAGGCCACGCCCCACCTGGCAGCCAGGTCACGCCCACAGGCCAAGCCCCCACCCGCCAATCACGGCCTGCTGGCCACGCCCCCCGCCGGCCAACGCCTATCACGCCCCCACTGGCCACGCCCCACCTGCAGGCCACGCCCACTCCCCATCCCCGCCGGCGGCCTGTGGTCCCTTTTCGGCCCCAGAGACTTGTGGATCCCCGGCCCGGGGGCGCCCCGCTCTGGGGCTCTGGCCCGGACCCCTACGGCTGGGAGGTGGCGGGGACTCTAGGGGCGTCTCCGTAGGGTTGGGGGCTCACAGGCTCTCAGCGCAAGGATGCAGTGTGGGGGCTTTCTACCCTGAGGGCCTTTCTCTGTGGGCATCACACGCCTGCCAGGGGCCTCGCGGGGGCCCCTGCCTACGCGTCAGGGCCCGGGCTGGTGGGCATCAGCCCTCCGCGCGGCACACCCGTCCTGGGGACTCGGTGGCCCTGCGCTGCGACGTGTCACCCTGACCCAGGCGGCCAGGGGGTGCAGGACCAGGGCTGCTAGCGCACCCCACGCCCCTCCCCCCAGCTCTGATGCCTGCCGCGCGGGGCTGTGGGTTCCCCGAGCGGGTTCGCTGCCGGCTCCACGTGGTGGCCGGCAAAGAACCCGGTCTGCTGGGCGCTGGTCAGCGGGGAGGCGATAACTGGGACATGGTCTCCCCCTGCCCCCAGAGTTACACGTTCCTGATCTCCTCCGACTACGAGCGGGCCGAGTGGAGGGAGAACATCCGGGAGCAGCAGAAGAAGTGTGAGTGGCCCCCGGGCTGGGGCGGGGGGGCTCCAGATGCGGGTTCAGGGGCATCGGCACTGTGGTCTCTGACCTCGTTTTCCCCAGCGGGCTGGGCCGTGGAATTCATCCAAGTGAGGTGCGCCGTGGAGCCCTGACGCAGGAGACACCTGAGGAGGGCTGAAAGGACCCCCTGCCCTCCGTAGCTGCCCACCGCCAGCCTGCCCGGGCCCTCCCTGAGCTCCTCCCACCCCGCCTCGTGGGTCTCCTGCCCTGACCCCTGCCTGCCCCTGGGGCCCCCGACCTTCCCTGAACACCCCCCCCCACCCCGCCTCGCCCCACCTGGCCCTTAGCAGCTCCTCCCTGGGAGCATGTGGACCCTGTGGGCCTCCTCACCGGGGTGTGCTGAGGGCCCGCTGCAAGGATGGCTGGAGAAAATGCTTCAGGGGGTCCCGGGGGCTCCGAGGAGCCAGGTGGACTCACCGGCTGGCGCCCCGTGCCCCCATCTCAGGTTTCAAGAGCTTCTCACTGACATCCGTGGAGCTGCAGATGCTGACGAATTCGTGTGTCAAACTCCAGACCGTCCACAGCATCCCGCTGACCATCAACAAGGAAGGTGGGCCGCCCCCTGCTCCGCACCCTCCAGGCCGCCGTTCCTTACTGCTATTGGCGCTGTCCTGGGGCTGGGGACCTGCGTGCCCAGGGTTGTGTGTGCTCCTGTCGGCCTCTCCCTGGAGTGGACGGGACAAGTTGAGGTGACCCAAGAGACCAGAGTCCCGAGCCGCTCCTCAGACCCTCTGTGCTCCGGGTCTGGCCCTGCTCCCCGTCTCCCCACCAGCCCCCACATATGGTCGTGCCGCACCTGCACTCACTGTTACACTCACGCACACGCACTCGCACACAAGAGCGTGCTTCCATGTGACGTGCTTCCCGACTCCTCTCCTGTCCTGAGAACCCGTCACGTCTCATCTCCGTCCCTGGTTTGCCCACGTTGTGAACTTAGGACTCGATCCTAAGGTCCCCGAGAACAGAGGCCACAGCGGATGTGTTTCTGCTCACGTTGTCGCCTTGTCCCTGGCTAAGCAAGTGACAGTCACGCGGTGCCCCCCGTGAGGGTCCTTGAAGCAGAGCCCTGCCACCTGCCTGCCCCTCCCAGGAGGACGGGCGCTCACATCTCTGGTCTCTTGCACAGATGACGAATCTCCTGGGCTCTATGGGTTCCTGAATGTCATCGTCCACTCTGCCACCGGCTTTAAGCAGAGTTCAAGTAGGTGGCTGGTGTGGGGAGTAAGGTGGCCGGACCCTGAGCCGGAGGGTACGGGGACCAGGGAGGCGGCTGACCGCCCGGAGGTGTGGTGCTTGCTAACGCCCACTGGGCGTGGGGTTGCTTCCCGGGGTGGAGCTTGCCTTTGCCCGCATCTGGCTCTTCAGACGCTGGGAGCTGCCCCCTGCAGGCAGGTCATGCAATTGTAGAGGTCAGGTTTTGCTACAGACAAGGAAATCAGTCCTGAATATTCATCAGAAGGACTGATGCTGAAGTTGAAACTCCAATACTTTGTCCACCTGATGCGAAGAACCGACTCATTAGAAAAGATCCTGATGCTGGGGAAGATTGAAGGCAGGAGAAGGGGACGACAGAGGATGAGATGGTTGGATGGCGTCACCGACTCGTTGGACATGAGTTTGAGTGAACTCCGGGAGTTGGTGATGGACAGGGAGGCCTGGCGTGCTGCGATTCATGGGGTCGCAGAGGGACACGACTGAGCAACTTGAACAAGAACAAAATGCAGCCTAGGTCCCCAGGAGGCCGAGGGCTGGCACCCCAACCCTGTGCCGAGGAGGTTTTGCTGCTCCGATGTTCGGAAGGGATACCCTTTTAATCCTTCCCCTTGGGGGCACCTGTCCAGCCACTCTGGAGTGGTGAGGGTTGGTCGCATTGCGGTGCAGGCTCAGCACACACTCGTCAGCCCGACCCCCAAGCTCTTAGGGCCCCTTGGAGGAGGATGCGGGGCAGCCACGCTTCTGCTGACCATGCCACTGTCGCTACAAAACCAAACAAGAAGTCCCTGATGAGCCCCAGAAGAGAAGCTATTTCCAGGCCGGGTGGATATGATCAGGGCTTTGTATCCAGAATATATCAAGAAGGCTTACAGTGCCATGCCTGAGACAGCCCAGTCTTTTAAAAATGAGCAAAAGATTTGGATAGACGGAAAAAGCAGATTTATAGATTTGTGGTTGAATGGGAAAAATGGGCCAAAGAGATCTTTTTAGGAGTGATGGAAATGCACTAAAACCAGATGGCAGTGATGCCTGCAGGATTCTGTAAACTTACCCAGAAGCACCCAGCTGGACACTCACAGTGGGTGAACGTGAAGGTACAATCGTTCGCACCTCAGTAGAGCCGTTTTTTAAAATAAGCAACACAATTTCTGTTGTATAAGTTGTAACTATAACTAGGTTTGAATAAGGCTGAATACTTATTCAACTACACATTTTCCCTTACCGTATAGTAACTTTATTAATAGGGCTTCCCAAGGGGGTCAGACAGTAAAGAATCTACCAGCGATGCAGGAGACCCAGCTTCAATCCCTGGGTCGGGTGAGATCCGCTGGAGAAGGGAAGGGCAAGCCGCTCCAGTACTCTTGCCTGGAGAACTTCATTAAAACGCGGATGGAGCGAGCCCCACTCCGCGCCCCTCCACCACTTCACTCCCGGCGCCGAGCTACTGTCCGTGAACAGGGGAGCGCATGTCATGACGGGTACAGGCTTCTAGCTGCACTCTTGTGACGTGAGGCAGCCACTCTCGATGGCACTGGTTTGGTGTCTTGTTTTAGAAAGAAAACAGAACTCTTCCCGGTAGTCCAGAGATCAGAATTTGGTGCTTCCACTGCAGGGGACGAGGGGGGCACCGGTTCCATCCTGGGTTGGGGTCCCGAGATCCCGCAGGCATCACAGCGCTACCAAAAAAAACCCCAAGACTTTTGCGTGTGTGTGTGATTTAGAAAATAACACCTGCTTTTAAGAAATATGGGTGGCAAAGGGCCACGTGGTCAGTCCCGCTCTCCGTGTGGCCCTGCGCAGGTCTGTACTGCACCCTGGAGGTGGATTCCTTCGGCTACTTTGTAAATAAAGCCAAGACGCGCGTCTACAGGGACACGGCCGAGCCCAACTGGAACGAGGTGAGGCCCTGCTTCTGGGCAAGTGCGAGGAGCTGCATCCGTGGGGTGTGCCCCCCGAGGGCTTCCCTGCCGGCCTCCGTGCCAGCAGTGTTCCCGGAATCTCCCAGGGGAGCAGGCGGGCCAGGAGATTTTATCTCCGTGTTCCTGAGAATTTGCCTGCACACACACCCCGCTCCGCCAGTGACAGAGACACTTGTTTTGCTGGCAGAGTGTCTGGAAAAAGAGCTTTAAAGGGCTTCTTACCATTAAGGCCCTTGTTGCTGAGTTTATCTGGGAGGTTTCCATGGTGTTTTTGCTCGGAAATTGGAATGAGCCTTGGGTCCTGTGACACTCTTGGTGCCCGGAAGCCGGGGCTCTGCTCCTGGGGCGGGGGCTGGGGGGTGCCTCGCTGGGCTGGAGAGGACCCTGGTCTCTTTTCTCAGCATCACTTTCATGATCATTAGATGTGCCACACGCCGCCATCGGGCCGGGCATCTGGGGAGCCAACGGACCTGCCTGGTCCTTAGAACTCCGGGCGCCTGTGCTAAGGGCTGTCCCGCGATTAAGGATGGGGTAGGGTGGGGGGTGTCAGAGCCAGGCAGACCCATCCAGGAGGGCGTGACCCCGCAGACGCAGCACACGCCAGGTTCTGGACACTGCCGAGGGGGCTGCAGAGACTGAGCTTGGGCTGAGGGCCTTCAGGGCAGTCCGGCACCCTGGTTGCACGTGTGGACCATCTAGGTTCTTGCAGGTTCCTGGCACACGCACCGTCCCCCCCTGCCCCCATTCAGGCTCAGAAATACCTGCTCTCCCGACCCCCCGATCCCTGTTTCCCCACCAAGAACCCATGCTGGCGGAAACCCTGGTGGGAAACGCCGGAGTTCCCGAGGTGTCATGGGGGTGACGGAGGAGGAAGCAGGCCCCATGCATCCCGCAGCAGACACGCTGAGAGCCTGCAGGGGAACCTCTCTTCCCGGGTCCCTCTTTCGCCTCGCCTGGGTCGATGTTTTTGTTTTCCCAAATAGACCGTCCTCGGGGCAGCTTGAGGTCCGCAGCAGAGCTGAGCGGAAAGGAGAGGACACTCCTGTGTCCCCCAGCCCTGGCCCCCCACGTGCACTCACCTGGGTGGGCACTGGTCATGATCAGTGGGCCTCCAGAGACACACCCCCCCAGAGCCCACAGCGGGTCTACGTTTGTAACCAGCGCCACAGCCCCCCCCCCCCCCCCCCNCCCCCCCCGCCCCGGGGCCCCTGGTGCAGGTGGTTGGGGGACCACCCTGTGAGATGCTGGCTCCAGGAGCTTGGGTTAGGCGTGAGAGGGGCCCAGAGCTTCCGGGAGGTCCCAGACTGGCGGTGTGATGTTCCTGGGTCCGCGGCTCCCGAGGGTCTTCATCTCGGGCAACAGTGGGGAGGGCCTCAGGGGAGCTGTCGGTGTGGGAAGGGCTGCGGATCAGGGGCCCCTTGGGCCGGCAGCGCTGAGCGCCGCTCCGCGGGGCCCGCCCAGGAACCCGGGCCTTCCTGCTCTCTCCGGGGCGCAGGAGTTTGAGATTGAGCTGGAGGGCTCGCAGACGCTGAGGATCCTGTGCTACGAGAAGCGCTACCGCAAGGCCCGGCTCGCCAAGGAGGACGGCGGGGAGAGCGCGGACCGGATCGCGGGCAAGGGCCAGGTGCAGGTGAGGCAGCCCCTGCTCCCCGTGGGCTCCGGGGGGCCCCCGGCCCGGACCCGCGCACGCCTCCCCTGGTGCCCCATGCTCTTCCCTGCTTGACGCCCGGGGACGCCGAGGGGAGGTTGGGGGGACAGTGAGGCAGGCCGGCTCTGAATCGTCCGCCGTGGGAGACCTGGGCTGGCGCCGTCGTGGGTCCCTTTCGGCCCCTGCCTGTCACTCAGCCTCTTGTCCCCGTGGGAATTCCAGCTCTGCCTGTTTTTCCGGGAGGCCTTGTGCCTCCCTGGCCTCTGGAGAGCCCGAGGTGGCACCCTGCAGGGTTGCCTTTGGCAGTCAGGAGCCGCCTCTAATTGGAAAAACACGAGACTGAGTGTCCCCACCTGGCACCCCCTCTCTGGCGTGTAGACCCCGCTTCCGGGCCTGCAGCTGCCTCCCTCCGTGGGGCGGGCGCTGTTTCCCCCCCAGCCCCAGGAGCTGGCCGAGGAGCCCCTGGTGGGTGAGGAGGAAGTCGCCACAGGGGACCGGCGAGGGGTCCCCAGGTTCAAGCCCTCCGGGCCCTCAGCCTTCTGAGCATGGGACGCACGCTCCGGCTCTCACGGAAGCACCCGCTTCTCACAGCCTCAGCTGCAGGCTCCNCGCTCCGGCTCTCACGGAAGCACCCGCTTCTCACAGCCTCAGCTGCAGGCTCCGCACCCCAGGAGGAAGCCCCGGCACCCTCTTTCCTTACGGGGCAGCTGACTGGACCCAGCTAAGGGGGCTCCTGCCTGCCCTGCCCTGGAGGTGGGCCCTGACTGCTGCCTCGGTGCCCCGGGAACCCCCCCCACAATGAGGCCTCCTGGGGGAGTGGCTGGACGTGCCAGGGGGCCACGGAGGACAGGGGACCCCGCCTCCCTTCCCGGGTGCAGGACGTGAAAACCCTCCAGGCAGAGAAGGTGCCTCACTCCCCACGACCCTGGGGAGTCCCCACCCGGCCCCACCGCGGCTGGCTGGCTGGCTTCCCAGGAGGGGCATGGTGCCGGAGAAGCTGCTGAGGGAACTGGCCGGCTCGGGGCCTCCAGGGACCCCTGTCCCTTGGGACCGGGTCTGAGAGCCAGGGTGCTCCTCTGATCACCCGCCTCTGCCGCACTCCGCCACCTGCCAGCCAGCACCACAGGGCAAGGGCGACGGGTGTTGGGGGGGGCAGTCCTGGCTGCGCTGAGACCCAAGGACAGGAGGCTCACGGCACCTGAGGCTGGGCTCCCCTCGGCCAGGGCAGCCCAGGGTGGCTGTGACTCTGGAATCCCAGGGATTCCAGCCTCACTGCTGACCGCCTTGTTTTTGTCTTATTTTTTCTTTTTAAGTGGTTACTTTAAAAAAAATTTACTTATTTCATTAGAGTTACGTATATGTACGCACTGTTTGCCGCGCTGGGTCCCCGTTGCAGCGCGGGCTCCTCTCTGGTTGCAGCGAGCAGGGGCTCCTCTCCGGGTGCAGGGCGCGGACTTCCCACTGCCACGGCTTCTCACGTCTCAGAGCAGCGCGGACTCTAGGCGTGGGGTCTTCAGTGGTTGTGGCCCCCCCCACCCGGGCTCTCGAGCACAAGCTCAGTGGTTGTGAGGAGCTAGCGTGGAACACGTTCCTCCACAGCAAGTGGAGTCTTCTCGGACCAGGGATCAAACCCGTGTCTCCCAGCCTGGCAGGTGGATTCTTCACCCCTGAGCTCCGGGGGAGGCCGCCTCGGTCTGTTCTTGATGGACACCGGGCTGTTCTGTGGGCATCCTGAGCCGGACGCCTCCGAGCGCGGTGGTGTTCAGGCACCTGCCTGGCGCTGGTCACCGTTCGGGGCCTCGGTCGTTGCCTCCGTGCTTGAGGACGGCTGGCCTCCTTTGTCTCCCGCCCCCCGTTCCCTCCTGCACCTGGCCCGGCCCCAGCGACTGTCCCGACACCCCGCTCTGCCCGCACCTCGCCCAGCCCACAGTGAGCTGGCAGGCTGGGCGCCCGATGCCTGTTCTCGACTCTGGTTACTCCAACCTTGGGCTTGACGTCCTCTGCGTCCTCCTGCAGGACTGGTGTCCCGGGGGTGCCGGGGTCTGAACCGGGGCCTCCGAGCACTGCTGCTGGGTGACCGGGAGGCTCAGACAGGAAAGGGAACACTCGTCTTCCTCCTTTATGGAGTCAGGCTCTCTCTCTGGAAAGAGAGATCGAACCGGGGTCTCCTGCGTTGCAGGCAGATTCTTTACCGTCTGAACCACCAGGGAGAGAGCGGTAGTGATCAGATAACAGCGGGACTGGGGTGTTTCCGGCTGCGCTGGTCTAGTGGGATTCTTGCAGGGGACAGGCCCGGGTGATGCGGATGTCAGCAGGGAAGGCGGGGATGAACAGCATGGTCACATGCTGAGGATGGTTAAGTATTGAGGGTGGGGATTTTTTTTCCTTAAATATTTACCCCTTATTTATCCAGCTGCGTCAGGTCTTAGTTGCAGCGCGTAGGATCTTTCATTGCAGGGCTCGGACTTTGTGTTGTGGCCCTTGGGGGCCCTTAGTTCTCTGACCAGGGGTTGAACCCACGACCCCCCGAACTGCAGGGCAGACTCTTAACCAGTGGATCACCAGGGAAGTCTGTAGGGCAGAGGATTTTTGCTTAACTGACTTAGCAGGAAACCGATCTTGCTCTTGCTGAAACCAATCTCTTGGGGACAAGGCCTGCAGGCACACCTCAGAGGTGCCGCCGTGAAGCAGGTCACATGAAGTTTCTGGTTTCCCAGTGCCCGTGAAGGGGACGTTGACACTGTACTGAGATCAGAGTGTGTCATAGTGTCACACCTAAAAAAAGCAGTGTAAATGCCTTAAGAAAAAAAAAAGACTTCATTACTAAGGAGTGCCAACCAGCATCTGACAACGCAGGGTTGCCCCAAACCTTCAGCTTGTGAAAATGCAGATTGCAGAAAAGTGAGGGCTTGTCTGTAGCTGGGAAACAGGTCAGAGGAGCCTGCAGACTCAGGTCCCCCAGCCCCGCTGCCCCTCCTGGGACCTGGGGTGACTCAGAGCCGTCATCAGTCCCCGGGACATCCCGGAGGGGCGGGAGGGGGTCTGTGACTCAGGCTGGGGGCGGCCAGGCTTGTTTACGAGTCTGGATCCTCAGCAGGAGGAGGAAGGAAGGCGGTCAGGGGAGGCTGGTCATGCTGACGACAGCCCGGGACCCCAGCCAGGCCGCCTCCCCCCTCCCCCGTGGACACGTTTCTCTGGGGGGGGGGCACCTCGGGGAGGCTGTTGGTGACTCCCGGGCCCAGCCTGCCTAAACTGGGGCTTTCCCAGCAATTCCAGGTGCTCTCCCAGCTGGGCCGTGTGCGTGGGGCGTGTGGCCCTGCAGGTCCTGCTGTGGGGGAGGGGGTGGCTACACCGTGCCCCACCCCCCGAGTCCTCGCCCCCTTCCTTGTCCAAAAGTCTCTGCCGCCGTAGGGAGTGGTGCAGAGCGGCCCAGGCCCTCCTTGCTCTACTTGTGGTCCCGTTTGGGACCCCGCATCTTTTTTTCATTGACCGACATCCACCGCATCCCTTTCAAGTAGAGAAGTCAGTGAAAAGTGAAAGCGTTAGTCACTCAGTTGTGTCCGGCTCTTTGTGACCCCGTGGACTGTAGCCCGCCAGGCTCCTCTGTCCATGGGATTCTCCAGGCAAGAATGCGGGAGTGGGTTGCCGTGCTCTCCTCCAGGGGGTCTTCCCGACCCAGGGATCGAATCCTCCTATGTCTCCTGCATTGCCGGCAGATTGTTTACTGTCTGAGTCCCCAGGAAGATAAGCCAGTGCTCTTAGTAATTTACAGTTTTACGACCATTAACAACAATCGCGTTTGAGAATGTTTCCATCCTCTCAAAGCGGTTTCTCTGTTCCCACCCCCAGGCCCAGGCTGATCCGCTTTTTGTGTACGGGTGTGCTCCGTCTAAAGAACCCACCTGCAGTGCAGGAGATGCAGGTTTGATCCCTGGGTTGGGAAGATCCCCTGGAGAAGGGCATGGCAACCCACTCCAGTGCACTTGTCTGGAGAATCCCATGGACAGAGGCGCCTGGCAGGACACAGTCCGCGGGGTCGCAGAGAGTCAGCCACGACGTATTGACTCAGCAGTTGCTCACCCTGCGTGTTTCGTGTAAACAGCCTCGCGCTCTGTGACGCGGTTTCCGCGACTGGCTTCCCCCACTTGGCAAAGCGTTTCTGAGGGTCACCCGCGTCACGGTGCGCTCACCGCATTCCCTTTTTTGGCTGGACCGTGTCTCGCCCATATGCACACACCACGTTTTGCTTATCTGTCTGTTCTCTGGCGGGTGGACACCTGGGTTGCTTCCAGTTCGCGCCGTGTGAACCTGTCACGGTCGGCGTGTTCACAGACGCTTCCCTCCTTCCTGTGTGGAGAGCCGTGGGGGGGATCGCTGGGTCAGGCAGCCACGGTCGGCTCTGAGCTGCTGGCCTGCTCTTTCCGAGAGGCCGCAGTAGTTCACGTCCCCGTGGAGGTGCGCGAGGGGCCCTGTTTCTCAGCGTCCTCGACAAGCCCCTGGTACTGTTTGTTTCCTGTTTATTGGGGTGCTTACGCAGAGAGTCAGCCACGACGTATTGACTCAGCAGTTGCTCACCCTGCGTGTTTCGTGTAAACAGCCTCGCGCTCTGTGACGCGGTTTCCGCGACTGGCTTCCCCCACTTGGCAAAGCGTTTCTGAGGGTCACCCGCGTCACGGTGCGCTCACCGCATTCCCTTTTTTGGCTGGACCGTGTCTCGCCCGTATGCACACACCACGTTTTGCTTATCTGTCTGTTCTCTGGCGGGTGGACACCTGGGTTGCTTCCAGTTCGCGCCGTGTGAACCTGTCACGGTCGGCGTGTTCACAGACGCTTCCCTCCTTCCTGTGTGGAGAGCCGTGGGGGGGATCGCTGGGTCAGGCAGCCACGGTCGGCTCTGAGCTGCTGGCCTGCTCTTTCCGAGAGGCCGCAGTAGTTCACGTCCCCGTGGAGGTGCGCGAGGGGCCCTGTTTCTCAGCGTCCTCGACAAGCCCCTGGTACTGTTTGTTTCCTGTTTATTGGGGTGCTTCGGGTCCTCGCTGTGGCACTCGGGGTCCCCGGCACGTCATGCAGGCTCTTCCGTCGCCGCGCGTGCACTCCCGAGGCTTGCCTTGAAGGCTTAGTTCCCCGAACCAGGGCTCCAACCCGCGTCCCCTGCCTCACCTGGCAGATTCTCAACCACAGGACCGCCCCGGGAGGTCCCCTCTCTTGTCTTGTTGATCAGAGCTGTCCTCCGGCCTTGGGTGGGTTGGGGCCGGGGGAGGGCAGGAAGGAGTTAAGGACACAGAGGTCAGAGCTCCAGGAATGCACTAGTGAGACGAGAGACTGGAGGGCAGCGACTGGAGGGCAGCGTCCCCTCCCGGGGGGCGGGGGTATCTCTGGTCCCCTCTCAGGGGACCACTCCAGGGAGCAGGTCACAGCACAAGACACGCGGGGCTCGGTCTGGAGGGCCGGGGAGGTCCCACTGGCCCGTCCTGGGCACTGACCGCTTCCTGGAGGAAACTGCGGTCTCCAAGGAGTCGGGTGAGGAGGGAGCCGCCTGCCCTGTATTGGTCCTGCCACCACCTGGGCTGGGGTGGACAAGAGGATGCTCTGAGTGTGTCCGTCAGGCCGTCCATCCCTGACCGCCAGGCCACCCCTGCCTTCCAGGCAGAGCTCGGGGCAACCGTCCACCAGGCCTGCCATCCCCCCTTGTTCCCTGGGGGTGCCCTGTGCCCAGCCCTGGGGGAGGCGAATGGAGGCGCCCCGCCCACCCAGCCCCATCATGGCTTTCCCAAAGGCGCTCTTTCCTGGTCCTCCCCCCACCCCCGAGTGCTCCATTCCCAGCCTCTCCGGCTTGTTTACTCCTCTGTGCTGTGAATAGCCCAGGCGGAGCGCCAGCCTCCAGCAGTGTTTGTGGACGGAGCCCGGCCAAGGCCTTGCCTCCGGCGCACCCCCCCCCTCGCGTGGCTTCCGTCCGCTCTGTTTTTTGGAGCCGGGCCAGCCTGTGGACGGTCTCCCCCCACCCCCGGGGCTGGAGGGCAGGCAGGTGGGGGTGGGTGGTCGGAGGCCCTGAGCCCCCCGTCCCTGGGCCGGGCGGCCGGTTCCGGGGGTTGCGGGGTGTTCTCCCACCCGAGTCCGGCCCCGGCAGGGATGGATGGGATCGCGGCGGTGGCTCTCAGGACCTGGAAGTGGGGGGCAGGTCCAGCCGTGCGGCGGCCTGGCCGGGCAGACACGGGTTACTCAGCGGCTCCAAACTGCCCGGCAGGAAACCGGCCACTTGCGAAGGAAGCTTGGCTTTTCTGGGCTCTGGAGGGAAAGCGTGACGCATCGGGGTTCCCGTAACTGACGGGCCGCTGGTGGGGGTGTTTTTCCCACACAAACAAAACGAAGAACCGGGGCAAGCCTGCAGAGGCGGGGCTTCCTGAGAAGCCGGGTCAAAAGGCGGCGGGGCCCGAGCCCGGCACACTCCCGCCCGATGCTGCTGCCCGGCCGCTGTCCCGTCCACTGCGCGGCTGCCCTGCCGCCAGCCCCTCGGGCAGCAGGGCCGAGGACGCGGGAGACGCCGGGCACGGCCGCCCTGCAGACCCTCCTGCGGCACCTCCACCCTGGCCTGGCGGGCCGCCCCCGGGCGGCCTCGGGGGAGGAGCACATGTGTGCTTGCAGCACTGCCCTGTGGACCCACTTCCGAAGCCTCGTGCACAAGGGCAAGGTGGGCCTGCGGGGGGCCGGGGTCCCTGGGGCGGGCAGGAGCCGGGCTCTGTCCCCCAACCCTGTCCCCCCGCTGGCTGTGCTGGTCTCAGGTCTGGAAGGGGAGGGATGGGGAGAAAGGCCCAGGGGTTACCAGCCTCTGGAGGGAACCAGAAAGGCTCTCTTTCTGCTGCTCTATCTCCCCTTTTAAAGCTGCCCGTGGGGGACTCCCCTGGTGGTCCAGTGGTTTGGACGCCACGCTTCCACTGCAGAGGGCAAGGCTTCGATCCTAAGCAAGGAACTAAGATGCAAACGCTACACAGCGTGGCTAGAGAAATTTTTTGTTTTTAATTAAAATAATGAAACTGCCATCAGTGACGGGACCCTGTCCCTTTCCTTGGGAGCTGGGGGCACTGAGCCCTTGCTTCCTGGGCGGTCAGGACACAGGAGCCTCCCCGCTCCCGCTATACCTGGCCTGGTCGGAAGCCGGGAGCTCCACTGGCCCCGGAGCTGCAAGGGCCCTGTGTCCCCCCGCCCCCGCCCACAGGCGCCCCTGAGGAGACGTGACCGCAGCTGGGCGCCAGGAAGCCCCACGGGGCAGTGGTCTGTGCTGGCTCTCTGCTTGCACACCTGCCCCTCAGGCCGGGGTCCCCACGGCCCCGGAGTGTGGCCTGAGAACCTCCCAGGAGGGGGAGGCCCCGCTGTGGGTGGGCCTGACCCGGATTAGAGACCCCGCCTGCACAGGCCCCCACACCAGAGGGGTGCGCTAAGGGTCCCCAGCTCTTAGATGGCACGTCCCCCCACCCCCAGAAGATGCTGTTGAAATCAGGCTTCCCAAAGTGTCGCCTACACGACTGGTCAGCCTCCTCCGAGCTGCGTGAAGCCCCCTGTGATGCTGTGGGTTGGGAGAGCAGGACAGCTCCCAGCCCCCAGGGCTGCCAGGGCGGGCGTGAGCGCCACTGGGAAGGGAGGGATCCCTGGGGAGCAGGGCCTGAGTGCTTGCTGACTCGCCCCCCAGCCAAGCCTGGGATGCAGGCAGCGAGGGTCTGGGGGCGGGAGGGCTCTGAGGCTCTAGGACTTTTCTAGTGAGTCCTCCGTTTGGACCCCGCTTGGCCTCTGGAAAGAGGTACCAGCCAAGGCCTGCTGCTGATTCCGCTCGGACGTGGAGGAGTCGCGGGCTTGGGCTTGCTGCCTGGCCCGGCCTCTGCTCAGAAGCCCAGGGCATCAGGTAACCATGACCCCTTGCTTTCAGCTGGACCCCCAGACCCTGCAGGACAGAGACTGGCAGCGGACGGTCATCGCCATGAACGGGGTATGTGCCACCCAGCACTGTGCTGGCTTCTGCTTCCTGCAGAGGGTTGGGGTGGTTCCAGTCCCTTCTGAGACCCTCGGGGCTGGAGAAGGCAGAGGCCCCGCAGGGCGGAACCGCAGCGTGCGGGCCCAAGTCCACGCGGGCCAGAGACTGACTTGTGGCTGGAGTGCCGGTCACCCCCCAGGCACTGGGCGTCCGTCCTCAAAGCAGGGTCCAGGGTCTTCATGGGGATGGAGGGGGCCTGGACCCTGGGGTCTGCCCATAGAGACTGAGACCCCTGATTAGACTTCAGTGCCCCGTAAGAATTGAGACCTTAAGAAAAAGCACTGCCACTCACCAGAAAAGCTCTGGGCATGTAGGGCATACCTGGAGGAGGGCGTGGCAGCCTCCTGTATCCTTGCCTGGAGAACCCCATGGACAGAGGAGCCTGGCGGGCTGCAGTCCCTGGGGTCACACAGAGTCAGACAGGACTGAAGCGGGTTAGCATGTAGGCACCGTGCTGACATTTGATAGGTGATTCGTGGCTTTTTGTTACATTATTCTCTATACGTTTTCTCTAGTGGCCTGTTTTTTTTAGGTTTTTATTTTGTATTGGGATATAGCCAGTTGACAATGTTGTGATAGTTTCAGGTGAACGTAGAAGGGACTCAGCCACACATATACATATGGTATGTCCAGTTCAGTTCAGTTGCTCAGTCTTGTGTCTGACTCTTTGCGACTCCATGGACCGCAGCACGCCAGGCCTCCCTGTCCATCACCAGCTCCTGGAATTTGATCAAACTCATGTCCATTGAGTTGGTGGATACATATATGGATACATAGATCCATTCTCCACCAAACTGCCCTCCCATGCAGGCTGCCACGCAACATGGAGTCTAGCGGTTCTTTTTAATCAGGATTAAATGAGAAACAGAAGCCACGGGGTCGTGGGGGGAGGTTGTGCAGAAGCGGGTCCTCAGACGGCCCTGGCTGTTCTCAGCTGCTGCCGAGTTGGACCAGAGCCCGCCCCCGACCTGGACCTTAGCCTGAGATCGTGGGGCCCTGGGAGCAGGCTCTTAGGACCAGGAGGCTGAGAGGGTCATGCCCCCTGCCCTCCCCTGCAGATTGAAGTGAAGCTATCAATCAAGTTCACCAGCAGGGAGTTCAGCTTGAAGAGGATGCCTTCCCGAAAACAGACGGGCGTCTTCGGAGTCAAGATCGCCGTGGTCACCAAGTGAGTGGCGGGGGCAGGGGCTCCTGTTTCTCGTCCCCAAGGGCGGAGGGCGCCCTCCCTGGGTGTCTCTTCAGGACGGAGCCCGTGTGGGCACGGCCGATGCGCGGGGACTGCTTGCAGGCCCCCAGCACGCACTCCGTGTGTGGCTGCCTCCCGTGCTGACCACGGACGAGTCCCCAGCAGCTCAGGGTGTCCCGCCCTCTGCCCGTGCCACCCCCGGAGCCGGGCTCGCCAGGGCTCCCTTCCCTCGCTTGGAATTTGTCAGGATCCGAGCTCCTGTCCTGCCTCCCCCCCCACAACGCCCCGTCATGGTCAGTCTCAGGAGTCGCTTGTGTGCAGGTTCAGGGCGGGCCTCCCGTGCTGACCACGGACGAGTCCCCAGCAGCTCAGGGTGTCCCGCCCTCTGCCCGTGCCACCCCCGGAGCCAGGCTTGCCAGGGCTCCCTTCCCTCGCTTGGAATTTGTCAGGATCCGAGCTCCTGTCCTGCCTCCCCCCCCACAACGCCCCGTCATGGTCAGTCTCAGGAGTCGCTTGTGTGCAGGTTCAGGGCGGGCCTGAGGACACAGCCGCTTCCTCCAGAGTCCACTTTCCCCGGTTTGGAGCCTGGCCCGGCCCTGACCTCACTGGTGGTCAGGCGGGACACCTGGCTACGGCCTGGCCCCCGGCTACACCCCAGCCGTCCCCCCAGCTCCTCTGGGCGGCTCTGGGCGGGAGCAGGGACCCCCAAACGAGCACCACTCGTGAGAGGGGCTGGGAACAGGGCTTTGCTGGGTCCCGGATCCAGTTGCTAAACTAGACTGAACCGATCCTCCAGAGTTCTTACTCTGAAGAGTTGAAAAGTTCTTACTCTGGCGTCCTGCCTGCAGGGGCTGGAACTGTTCCCTGTTAGGACGTGGAAGAGAGAAATGTAGCGTCACAGGATTCTGAGCTGAGCACAGAGGGGCCAGGCGGCCCTGTGGACTTGATCCTCTGGCCCCGCTGCCTGCCGGGCCCTGGGCTCCCCTCTGCCTGAGGCCTGGAGGGGTCCCCTTTCTCCCACCCAACTCGGATACCAGACCGCTTCCCAGGACCCTTGCAGTCAGTCTCCCGTCGACCCAGGGCCCTGGGAGCTCCAGACTGACCTCGCCGACCTCCTGCCCCCGCCCCCGGGGTGGGTGTGCTCGGAGTGTGTCTGGCCCACCCGGACTGTTGGAAAGACCCTGATGAGATGGAGGCAGTGATGATAGTGAGAGCGCAGAGTCCAGGGGGACACAGGGAAGGCTCTGGTGCTCTGGTGCCCAGAGGCGAGGCGGTGGTGCCACGGAGGGGGCGGTGCTGCCGACGCTGAGGCACCGCCCCCTCCTCCCCACCCCTGCAGGAGGGAGCGGTCCAAGGTGCCGTACATCGTGCGCCAGTGCGTCGAGGAGATCGAGCGCCGGGGCATGGAGGAGGTGGGCATCTATCGCGTGTCCGGAGTGGCCACGGACATCCAGGCCCTGAAGGCGGCCTTTGACGTCAGTGAGTGTCTCAGCAGCCGGGCCGGAGGGAGGGGTGGGTGCGGCGCGTGCGCCACTGGGGAGGGAGGTTCGCAGAAGGCGGTTCCTAACCCGTGCTGACCACGCACGCGCGGCACTTGCCAAGTTGGACCAGGGGCTTCCGTGGGGCGCCCCCGGCTCTACCCCTTGGAGGCTCAGCTTGGGGCCCACCCCCGGGGGTGGGTGTGAGAGAGGTGCCGACCAAGCCCAGGGGTCAGCAAGTCTGGTGCCAAGAGGCTGATGGAACTGTCCCGATTGCCAGATATGGCTGGGAGACCCCAGGGTTGTCTAAGAGCCTTGTCTCCTAACGCCGCAGGGGGCCTGGAGCCCTGGCCGGGGTGGTGCGGGGCGGGGGGACACCACCACTGTAGTTAAGCTGCCGTCAGGTGACCCACACGGCCCGGCTGGGGCTCAGAGGGTGGAGCCGACTCGGGTCCATGGAGGGCTCCGCTCCACTTCCTCGCCCTTCCCCAGACAACAAGGACGTGTCGGTGATGATGAGCGAGATGGACGTGAACGCCATCGCTGGGACTCTGAAGCTCTACTTCCGCGAGCTGCCGGAGCCCCTCTTCACCGACGAGTTCTACCCCAACTTCGCCGAGGGCATCGGTGAGCACGGGGCGTCTCCCGTCCCCACTCCTGTCAGCCTTTGATTGGAGGGAAACCCAAGTTTCAGCACAAACTCTGCGAGTGGCGGGGGACTGGGAACCTAGCCGTCCCGGGAGGCCTCCACGGGCTGACCGCTGTGCCTGTCCCTCGAGGTCGCCGAGATGGGGGGCTGCCGCTGTGGACTGCAGCTGCCAGTGTGGGGTTCGGGGGCTGCTGTCCTCCTCAGGGGCCCCAGACCCTGGCCCATCAGTCAGGGCTTTCGAGTACACCCTGACCCTGGGCCCACCCGGAGCGTGGGGGGCGCTGGCACTCGGGGCAGCTGCAGCCTCCGCACCCAAACCCCGCCAGGGCCGCTCAGCTGAGGACCTGCCCCCACCCACTGCCACCCAGGTGCAAAGGCTGGTGTGATGGGGGGGTCTGTGGCCTCCGCTTCCCCTGAGCAGGTGGGAAGGGCCAAGGGGGCCAGGAGGGCAGCTGTGCTTGGCACCCCCGCCGCTGGCCCGTGTGGTGCCCCGACCCCTCTGAGGGTCAGATAAGGCGTCCAGGGTGGCCAGGCTCCCACCCCAGGGCCCTCACCGGGGGCCAGTGTAGGAGGCAGGACCGTGACTGGCCCGGGCCCTGGGGGCGCCTTCCAGCCCCGGGTGGTCACTATGAGAAGTAACCGCCCCCCACCCCCCCCCGCAGCGCTCTCAGACCCTGTGGCGAAGGAGAGCTGCATGCTCAACCTGCTGCTGTCGCTCCCGGAGGCCAACCTGCTCACCTTCCTCTTCCTCCTGGATCACCTGAAAAGGTAGCCGCCCTCCTCTGGGGTGCTTAGGGCCCGGTGGGTCCCCTGCTGCCGTCAGACTCCCCGGCTCCCGCGGCCTTCCCTCTGTAGTGCTCCCCCCATCTGTGGGTCCCCCTGCGCCCTGGACAGCCATGGGCTCGGGTGTCCCTGCGGGCCTCCAGCCTTCTGCTTTCCGACCGGGAAGAGCCGGGGTGGGTCAGCTGGGGAGCCCTCCCACTCGCCCTCCCAGGGTGGCCTGGATCCCCACCCACCTCCATGCCCCCATCCCCAAGGCGGCGTCACGGCAGTTTCCCCACCACCCCCCGACAGGGTGGCGGAAAAGGAGACGGTGAATAAAATGTCCCTGCACAACCTCGCCACGGTGTTTGGCCCCACGCTGCTCCGGCCCTCGGAGAAGGAGAACAAGCCGCCCGCCAACCCCAGCCAGGCCATCTCCATGACCGACAGCTGGTCCTTGGAAGTCATGTCCCAGGTACGGTGGGTCACCTACCTAGCCCGCACCTGTGGCCGCTGCCTGCGTCCCACACCCCCGCGTCCTGCCAGGGGTTCCCACTGATCCGTCGGGAGGTGGCTGAGGTCTGGGGACGGGGCCACGAGGCGGGCCGCGGCTCCGCCCTCTGCTCTTGGCTGGGGATCCCAGGACCGGTCTGGGGGGCGGGGGGCCCCAGGCCTCTGCTGTGAGGTCCTCGTTGTCCCCAGCAGGGCCCTGGGTTCTGCCAGGGTCAGGGTGGGGGGGCCTCCCCTTCTCTGAGCCGCCATCCCCTCCCGCTCCGCCCGGCAGGTCCAGGTGCTGCTGTACTTCCTGCAGCTGGAGGCCATCCCTGCCCCGGACAGCAGGAGACAGAGTGTCCTCTTCTCCACCGAAGTCTAGAGGCCCCGGCCCGCCCCGAGAGAGCAGAGGACGGCCCGGGGCCCTGCCAGGGACACGGGCCATCCGGCCACAGAGCTGGAGCTGAGCCTCCTGGAGGAGTCACAGGGCCCCCCTCCCCGGGCCCACGCTGCTGCCAAGAGACAGCGACCTCTGGCAGAAGCGGCCGGGGCAGTCCCGGCCCCCAGCCCTCGCGGGCCCTGGGCTGGCCTCAAACTGTGTCCACGCCACCACCAGAGGGCGCCCCGAGCCAGCGCGTCGCCCGTCGTGGGCCTGGGTGGGACCAGGCGAAGGGAGTGGTTTTTGCGAAATGTAACTTAAGAGAGTTGAAAGATGTCCACTGGATCACCTGTCGAGATGGCGCATCTCGGGGGAGGAGGGAACAGGCAGGAGCAGACTCTCTGACTCTTGAGTCGTCGTCCTGAATAAACACCACTGCCGATTCATGCCCAGGGAGGGGGGCCAGGCCCCGTCCGTGCGGGTGGGAGCGTGTCGATTTCCCAGATCAGAACGCCCGAGTCCTGCTTTGTAACCAGGCTGGAGGAGCTGAGTCTACACCGTGTGGCGCCTGACCCCGTTCACCTCCTGCTTCTGTCTCTCTCTGCGGCAGACATGGGCCTTCCTCCTGCTTTGTCTCCGCCCATCTCCGGCGCATTGAGTGGGCAGCTGCCCGCCGACCTGTGTCACGTGCAGGGCCCGGACACCAGGGGCGGGGGGCCCGGGGCTGCGCACTTTCCCCGCGGCTCGTCGGGGCAGGGCGAACCCACCCACCGTTCAGACGCACACTCGCCTCGTTGGCTCAGAAGACCGGCCTCCTCCAACCCGTCGTCTGCCCCCTGTCCTCCCGTCCGCTTGATCACACCCCGCCCTCCCCCGATCCCCGACACCCAGACCGGCTGCGCCCCCTCGCTGCACGCTCCCCACACACTCTTGTAAAGGTTTTCTTCTCTTGGTGGCGGCGGCAGCTTGCCGACAGCTTGTTTTAAACTTTGATCCGAATAGCCTTTTGATACTTGAATATTTTTAAGTTTTATACATAGTCTCTAATTTTTTTTTGTTTCCTAACAAGATTCAGACACCCACTAAGATGTTAGAATGTACTCTGTGGACAAGCAGTGTACACCGCGGCATCTTGTCTTCCTCCACGCGCCAGCCCTCTTTCCATCGGGAGCTGCTCCGGAAGTCTCCTGGGCACCCGGAATTGGGGGGAGGTTGGGAACAGGCCGAGGGTGGGGGTGCCCACCCCGGAGCAGCTGGAGGGACCGACCCCCCTGCGCACACACTCCGCGCTCCTGGGCTGAAGCCAGGACGTGGCTGGTTACCCTGCCGACCATCTGACTTAGAGGAGACAGAACCGGGGACACCTCTAGGTATTTTGAAGACGCACATCTGTGAAGAATCGTATCGCTTCTTTCTAAGAAGGGGCAGGGGCAAGGAGAAAAGAAACAGGCCAAGCTTCCAGGCTGGACTTGCGGGAAGAGAGGATGTCACTGAACCAGAGGAGGGAAGTGTAGGCACGACTCAGGAAAAGGCGTTCGCTTCTCACGCGATGAGACCAGTCTCGCGGGGCACTGCTCGGGCCCTGTCCCGTGTCCCCAGCAGGGCGGGAGGCTCTCCCCCGTCGTGTCGACGGGCAGGAGCTCCAGGCACGTGGGGGTCACGTGCCCCTCCCTCTCCTGTCTGCTCGCGGACCTGCTGACACGGGGGACGGAAAAAGAAGCCACTCGAAGCTCTTAGGTCCTCATACTGTATTTATTTAGTTGTACTTTGGTCTCGTGGGGAGAGCTGTGGTCCCCCTGGGGGATGAGGGTGTGGCAGATGGCAGGGGGCAGGGGTGTCCTCTGTCTCCGAATGTTCTCTGGACTTGGTGGGTCTCCTGGCCTCCGGCCCCCGAACGTTTCTAGCCTGGCTTCCCATCCCGTCCAGCCCTGGGGGGAATGTGCTCTGCCTGGAAAGCCCTGGCCCGGTTTCTGTTTCCTGGAGCCTTCATGATCTGCGTGCACCGGGATGACACTGGAAAGCTGTCTCTCAGCGTCTGTGCCCATCCTGGCTCCCTGCCGCACCTCCTTCCCCTCTGCCAGCTCTTTCTTGGCGCAGGATGCACGCGGCCGAGTGGCGGGATGATTGCTCCTTCTTCCCACCGTGGCGGCAGTTGCTCTGGGTCCCCAGGCATCCCCGTTGCTTGTCTGACACTCCGGCACTGACAGGCGGCGAAGCTGCCGGGTGGGTGACCAGCTAGGGGCCAGACGTGACCTTCCTCGAGGCTCAGCAGCCGGATGCCACCTCGCCGCCCGGGGCCCTGCATCTGGAGCCCGAGCCTGGCCGCACGCTGGGGTTGGCGGTGGGTCTCTGGGCAGCCACGTGTCCGAGTTCCAGCTCAGCCGTCTCTCCTGCCGTGGTGTGGGGGAAAGACTGCTGACACTTTCATTAAAGTTCCTTGAGACGACTTGCGTCCATGCTGGTGGTGCCGTAGAAACGTCGTGACCAGGGGCTCCGGGAGCGCCCCTGACGGGGCCGATGGGTCAGGGCTGGGGGTGGGCATCGGGGCTGGAAGCAGCAGCAGGTGGAGTGGACAGGTGGGCATCCAGGAGGCCTCCCCGAGGAGGTGGGCACTGCTGGGGACAGGCCCAGCCCGGGGCGTCCACTTGCCCTCAGGCCGCCTCTCCGCCAAGTGCGGGGCTGTTGGGTTTGGGATGAACAGCTGCAGGGATGTGGGCCCGGCCCGGTGCGGGGGGCCCGGCCCGGTGCGGGGGGCACGGCCCGGTGCGGGGGGCACGGCCCTGCACGAGCCCCTTGGCCTCCGTGGTTCCCACCGGCGCTTGCGAGCCCAGCCTCTGGGTTGCCGGGCACGGGACGCCTGAGCTGCCACCAGCCTCGCCTTCAGAAAAAGCCACCCAGTGTCCAGGGACGCCGTGCCCCCGTGGAGAGGGGCATGCCAGGTGCGGACACACGGGGACCTGCCTTGCCATCCTCGACGTCTGCCAGCATCACCCCGAGGTCCCTCCAGGGCGCCTTCCTTGAGGCGGAAGGGTTGGCATTTGCAGAGCTGCATGGACGCCGGGCTGCTGCCCTCCTGATGCCTGCTAACGAGGAAAAGGCTTCCGCAGGCCCCCCTCCTTGGATCTGGCCCCCTAAAGGCAGTTCTGTGTGTGTGCGCGCACGCTCAGTTATGTCTGACTCAGACCCCCTGGACTGTCGGCCGCCAGGCCCGGCCCCTCTGTCCGTGAGATTCTCCAGGCAAGAATACTGGAGTGGTTTGCCATTCCCTCCTCCAGGGGAGTCTTCCCGAAAGTCTAGTTACATCTCTCTATCCCTGCCTTCTGGGTCCTGTTCGAAAATCTTTAATAAAAAGAAAAGCTCCAACGCATCTCTCTCATGAGGAATTGACTTGGGGACAAGCGGACAGTTCCCCATTGTTGCTGACAGCAGGGGCTTCGTCCAGCCCGGCCCAGGCCAGTGGCACGGCCAGGGAGCGGGACTGTTCGCGGCTGTGGGGTCTGAGGCCTTAGACCCCAAAGACCCTCGGAGTCAATCCCCTTGCTTGGTAGGTGGGTAAACGAAGTTGCATGGAGGCCCCCCGCCGCCGCCATCTCAGCTGTTTGAAGAGCAGAGACAGGCTGGGGGCGCGGGGCTGCCTGCCTCTCCGCTGGGCTCGAGCCGAGGCCTGGCGTCACGCACGCACCCCAGTCGCAGGATTTTGTGTAAAGACCTCAGAAGAGCCTGCATACGCCCCACCACCCACCCCCCAAAAAAAGAAGGCCCCAATGGCCTTAAAAGGAATTATTTCCATGATGGAGAGAATGATGGGCTGTTCCCAACAGCTCTGAACAGATAAACAGAAAAAGCGAGGGGGTGACAGACAGCGGCTCTTGAGGAGGCCCAGACAGCCTCCCAGAGCAGCCGCCCTGGGTCAGCGCACAGGCTGGGAGGGGCCCTGCTGCATCTGAGACACGCCCAGGCTGGGAAGGGAGGCTGCTGCTGGGGGGGCTGCTTAGGGGGCGGGGGGGCAAGGCTGCTCGTCCGCGTGTCCCCGCGTCACAGGCCACATGTCCCGGGACAGACCTTCCTGGGGCCTCTCGGGCCCGTTCAGCCAGATCACTGAGGGCTCGGTCTGAACACCAGCTCTCTCCCGTTCTCCTCCTGTGGTGGACCTGGCCAGAAACTCTCCCTTTGGATTTTCAGGTTTCTTGGTGCAGGAGAGCCGGGCTGCTGGGATAAGCTCTGCCGACGTGCTAACTCCCTTCAGTCGTGTCCGACCCTGCGACCCCGTGGACTTGCAGTCCTCGCTCCTCTGTCCACGGGGATTCTCCAGGCAAGGCTGCTGGAGTGGGTTGCCACGTCCTCATCCAGGGCCTCTTCCCAGCCCAGGGATCGAACTCACGTCTCTTGCATCTCCTGCGTTGGCAGGTGGATTCTTTCACCAGGAGCGCCAGCTGAGAAACGCAGCTGCCGAGAAGGGTTGATTCAAATGGGATTCTGGCCAAGGAAGGGGCCTGAGGGGCGAGGTCTACACGGGAGCAGTCCCACCCCCATCCCCGGGGCGGGCGGGCCAAGGCGCTGCTGGGATGGTGGCTGGCCCAGACCTGGGGCCTCCCCAGGGCTGGAGGGTGTGAGGCTGTGATGCCTGACTTTTGTCTGCGTTCCCCCCGCCCCCCTTAAGACAATGCACTCCTGAGGGGCACTCCCCAGGCGGGGTGCTTTCTCACGGTGATGGTGATGGCCAGGAAGAGACCAGGGCTCGTGGGTGGTGGGCGGCGGCCACCTGGTGTAACCCTGCCTCTGACCCCCACCAACCCCGCACCCCGGGAGATCCAGACTCCACGCTCCATGTGGTTATAGACAAGGCTGTGTCCCTGCTTCAGGCGCTGAAGCCTAAGCCCCAGCAGAGATCAGGCGTGAAGCCCTGACTCCACGGCCGATGGCTTCATAAGAAGAGGGCGAGAGGCGGTTGCCTGGCGGTCCCGTGGCTGGGCCTCGGCGCCTTCAGGGCCGAGGGCCCGGGTTCCATCCATGGTTGGTGAACTAAGACCCCATAAGCCATGAGGCATGGCTGTGGGGATAAAAAAGAGCGAGAGACCAGAGCTGTGTCTCCGCTGCTCCCAGAAGGCCACGTGAGGACATGGAGAGAAGCTGCAAGCCAGGAAGAGACGCCGGGGGAGGAA